TTCAGACACTCGTTACTCGAGTGTCTGAAGCACGATCGCAGCACAGACGATACACAATATCCACAGCACATTTGGACCAGACATCGCAAAGCACAGTGCGTTATTGATAAGACTGCAAGATGACGATGAACCAAAGTCGAGGCAGGAATCACCAGCAGCCTCCGACTTATGAGACAACGCTGATTCAATTACATAAATTTAATTTTAATTTATTTATTTATTTCTATAATAATAACAGTACAGATCATTTATATCTAATTAATGTTAGTTACACTAAGGAAAAGACAATGAGAGTACACTGTGGCTCCCAAACTAGGCAGTGCCTGTATCTTGGGAGCCGGAGTGCGCTTCATATAAAACATAAAATGAAATTATATGGACGGTACTTTAGGTAAGTTATATTAATAATCAAATTGGAAAGATGAAAAGGCTGAGAAATTGAGAAACTATACACAAATCCAATAATCTATATATTCTTATGAATAAAGTCTGCTGAAAAGTTATCTCAACTAATTGGCACACGAATTAATCAATGAAACACTTGTGATTAAAATTAGACCCTATGTAATACACAAAGTTCAGACACGGGAACCTTATAGATATCACCAAAATTGAAGTGATAACTAGGGTAAAATATTTGAGTTCCCAAGATTTATAAAATATATTTGTAAACAAGTACATTTAAATCATAAAAAAAAACAAAATTGGCTTCAAATATCTCACTACCGAACGTGATGCAAAAAAATATTAAAATGAGTTCATAAATGACAGAGTTCTGAGGTGGCAAACATAAAAAAATGCAATCAAAAACTGATAACATCCTGCTTCTTTAAAGGCGGTTGAAAATATATTTCCGATAACTAGTGTCTAACATCAAATCCTTTGATCACAGAAAGAGTTGCAAGTAGCAATTTGAACCTACAATGTTAGTATACGAGGATATCGCGTAGAGCACGGTCACAACATAATGTCGTTCGCAGCAAAGTAGATAAGTATCGTTATGTAAAGTAGTTTAGTTTTCATTTAAGAGGCCAAGGCTGCAAGTGATTTGCGTAAATAATAGCGTACATAAACATAAACTAAACATCCGTTATATTTTCTTGTTTCTTATAAACCTCTTGGGATTTAACCAAAACTGTTTGTAGGTCCGCTAGTTTGTATACATTTTTTTAAAAATTATTGTTATGCTGTTTTCAAGTTTGTTTCTTATTTGAGTTGCGTATATTTGGGTTGGTGGTGTTGATTGTGCGTTTCGTCTGACGGCAAGTTAAGTGCATTAAACCTGTCACGCGTCACTCGATAACAGTAGCAACCGCGGAATCTCGCCAACGAGGCCAACGTAATCCACACCAGGGCTCGAACCCGACACCGGGATACGCGTTACACACCGGACGTAGAGCGTTGCTATCGGTTACAATCAATGAGTGCGAACGGCTCTATCGAAATTGTCTGTGTCACTACACGCTCTAAATATTGCACCGAAGCTTCTTCGGATAGCGACCCTATTAAAATTGTAGCATATTTAACAGTCGATTCTATAGAAATTGAGGCCGCTTTAACAAGCGAGATTTTTATTGACTTACTCATACAATCATTTCGGTTGAAACCTAAGGAGCAACTGTATCGTAATTGTGCTAATGTGAATTCGAAAGTTAAAAATCATATTTTACAGCCGATTTTGTCCGCGTTTCATTAAAAAACGATTATGTCGAATTGAATTTGTCGCTATTTAACGACAGACTCTAAAGAAATTGTCTCTCCTTAGAAACTTACCGATCTAGCATCCAAGCTCGCTAATTAAGCTAAATTTTGCTTATAAAAAGCTGTGATTCCAATCCTCACAGACATAATGATTTGCAATTTAGGATTTATTCTTATATGCAGCATTATCGAATATCGTATCGCCCAGCTGCTATGCAAGATTTAACAATGAGCTCACTAAAAGCACTGATACTTCCTATTGTAAAAACCAGTGTCATATAATGTTCCGTTCAATATAGTGTTAACGTAATCATTGTTAAAATATAAATACCTATGATAGATAAAACTGTACCCAGTTACAGAATTTAATACTAACTTTTGCTCTCAGAAACATTTGCCGGTGCGTAATTAACATTTAAATCGAGTACGTGTGTTAAGTATCTCTTAATTAGTTGGCATAAATATATTTAATGTACCAAAAAGTATTAGCGATTTGGAATGATGGTTTTGTACCCAGAATGAGTATATCGAATTTACTAGCACTAAAATAAACATAACAAGCGCTCGGACAATCAATCAAATGGGAAACACGGAACCTACACAGAATCCAATGCAAAAAGAATTTTTGTAATCAGTTCTTAAATGACGAATTTCTGGGGTAATATAAAAATACAACCTCCTCCTTTTTTGAAGTCGGTTCATAAAGTATTTAATTTCCGAAAAGGTTCTTAATCCTTATAGCGGTCTATACCACGGATGAGCAACGCGCGGCCCTTTAAAGATGTTTATGCGGCCCGCCAAGCATTTCTAAAATTGAATTTATTTTTATATATTGTTATAAAATTAATTATAATAAAATGGTAGTACATACTGAACCGTAACATTTTTTGTTCGTTTTTCTGTTCTTTTCTTGTTTGTTTTTACCTTGCATTAAAATTTGTATATGAAGTCTTTACTTTTTTTTTTTTAATTTTATCTTTTTTTATTCTAATATTTATTATAAATAAATTTTCGTAAATTTTTGTGCGGCCCACCAAAAAAATTTGAAATTTAAATTGGCCCATTGATTAAAAAGGTTGCTCACGCCTGGTCTATACCATAAGTTTCTGTTTCTAACTGAATTTAATAGAACTTTAACAATACAGAAAAAAGTAAAAATTAAAATTCGACCATAATCAACCTTGAAAATTTTGTAGAGGCATGTATTAATTTTCTATTTATATATTTTATATTTCGTTTATTGTATATCTGAGACTATACACTTTATGTAATTACAATACAAAATAAGTACCTTAAAAAGGATAGAAGAACAAACTACACTATTTTACGTATTTACCACGTTTATTGTAAACTTCGAAATGTCGGGAATTTATTCCGTATCCTAATTGAGGCGTTAGACGTGCGAATAATGAAAATTTAACCCTTTTTAGATGTTTCTTAATTTTCATCAGCTATATGTTTCTTACGCCGATTTTTATTACCCATTTTGTTTGTCCCTTATCAACTGTTTAGTTTACACAAAGCTTTCATTAGATACTCAAATTAGATAAACAAAAAAGTCGGTTGACGAATAAAAGAGAAAAAGGTACTGAACTGATTTGTCTTCACGTATTTATAGTTAGATTGTGTATTAATATAATTAGATACACAGACAATAGTCAATATTTTGCCAACCATATTTTCAGCTTTGCGTGCTTTGGTCGAACCAAATTCAATAAACTAATTTCATGATTTTGTGCTCCGATGCGACAGGATTATTTACTAATTCAGGCGTCGTTTAACCTGCTTCAGAGCACTTAATTTTCAGTGCATAATCTCAAAGAACTACTGATTTAGAAGCGAGAGCTTTTTATACTAAGATGAATGTTTCGAGTTTTCGAGTGAAATTAGCCGAACCGCACTAAAGCCCTGTTCTGTTTTAGCTTTTGAAATTTCGCCAGTGTTTAATATTGTATAGAAAGCATTGGTCGTACAATATTGACAATATTTTCATACACCAGTTTGACGAAAAGCACGTTATTCTCAATGCATGACATTACCCTTAGCGATAATTAAAGACTTAAAACAGTTAGCCGTCGGGAATATAAAATTATAATTGCAAACGCGCTACCCAACTGTATCTGGAAAACTCGTCCCTCGGGCACTACTACTAGAGCATTGTACCTTTGACTAATTTCTCTGCTATAACTAATGGTTAAAATTCGAATTTGATAGAGACATGTAGTAAATTTCAAAAATTTTTAGTAAATTTATACTTCGTTCATTACATAACTCAGACTATACACTTTCAAAGGTGTTTACACAAAACGAAACAGCAATAAAAGTGCATATACAATAAAACTTTCATAATTATGTACTAAATGAAACACTCGTGTCAATCTTAGAGTAATTAGATATTACCTACTTAAATTTTTCTGCATCCTAACATATCTCTTCTATTCATAATTGCCTCCACGCTTATACTCTCATCATTGATTTGTCACGTTAAGTATGTATTTTATAATTTGTAAGGATATTTGAATGTTTTCCTTATATAGATATTTCATTTAATATTTTTGTACGTCTGCGAAAAAAATGGCGATTCTGTATGATTGTTACTGATTACGCAAACGTACCTATCTTTTAAAAATATAATTAATGTTGTATTTATGTGTTTTAGCAAAAAGTGTCCCATGATAAAATTGTTTTTCCATTTGTATAATAAGCGATATAGAAAAAATTGCGAGAACTGGAAAGATTGCAAGAATAATAAGAAGACATTTAATTATTCTCTTTGTATCTATGGTTAGTCACAGATACAAAGAGGCAAATAACACATACACTGCGTCGTGGTTTAACCCGCGAAATATACCTTGATGCATTGGAAAGAAGCCTGTCTAATATTAAGATAAATTTAAATAACAATAATTAAATAAAACCAACCAATTTACTACAACTGTAGGTAATACAAAAATACAACAAACCAACACTTAGTTATAATTGAACCAGACCAATTTATAAAAGTTATTTCTTAGATAGTTAAGTTATCTCTTAGACGAGTATCTAGCAAATCGGTTCCGGCAAATTACATTTCAATGAACATAAAACACTCATTCGCAAAACCGTGTTAAACTGACCAAGAGTCACACGCGGTATAAAAAAGTTGTGTCTCTGAACCCTGACTTTGTTTCGATATTACTTCTTCTGTACCGCATGCAAACCTTTGGTAGAATGCGGAGTTGATTTCGTGTTTGGTCTAACATCTCAGGTGCATTAATTATGGCTTGTTATTCGCGGACGGTGCGAACAGCGGAACTTACCAGCCGAGGTCCCAAGCGGAGTGGAAGGCTGGGTGCGCCGACATCGACCCCAAGGGCATACCGAAGCCGAACTCGATCTTGACGTCATCGGACCTCCGCAGCCAGGTGCCTCTGGACTCCCGCGCCTCCGTGGTGCCGTGAGCCGTGTCGTTGGTCATCATTAAACTAATACTATACTGTGTTATACGTAGATATATGCTAGCAAGCTGAAAGATGTTGCTTAATACTAAACCGGGGACTGTCTTTGTTTGAAACTTAATAATATGTTTGAAAAATAACGTTGCATGAATGTGTAGACTCGTCCAGAGATTAAAACGACCTCACAGAAGATGACTGTGAAGTGTAAGTGATATACGTCTTCTCAACGCATCTTCAACTCCAAGATGTGTTGCAGCAGTTATCACTTAACATCAGGCGAACCACCGGCTCGCTGACCATCACAAAAAAATGTTAAGTTTATAACAATAAAATTATACTGTTGATTCTTACGTGTCTTATTTGCAATAGTTTAATCTTTGAGTAAATAAATTCATTATGTATTTACACAATTATTTATTATTCAATAGAATAAATAATGTTTTACGATCAGAACAGAATTTGAATCTGGACATATATAAATAAAAAATAAACCGACAGTGATTTTGTCGTAACCCGGTTTTAGACAAGGATTCCTTATTTCCTTCTTTAATGTAACAATTAAACCAAACGAGAGACTATTGAATTCACACAAAAAAAAAATTGTGTTCATAACACAGTTTTTGTAAGACAATTTAAAACACAAAAACAGTCCACGGTTACCATACAAAACATTCAAAAGACATTACAAAACTCGGCAAATCTCGTAGAAGGGTCTACGGTTGGATGGCAAAACTCTACGAATAACTTTTAAGAATACAGACCAATAACGTTTAACGCACACTTATTTAAAAACAACCGTATCCACACTGTTTTTCCCGTGAATCTAAATCTGAGTATTTACATTCAAAGTGCTGTGTTCCATCCCAACGATGGACACGAACTAACGCACTTGCGACGGCTACAAAGGCTACGTTTACCGCACTGACCATACAATACCGCGTTGTATAGTGATGTGCCTTACACGTTAAACAACACGTAACAGAACGTACCTAACGCTATATTTTTAAGACTAAAAACGTATTTACGACACGTTTACAAATGTTTCCTGCTTAATTATGTCGTATTTGTAGAATATTTGTGTATATATGGTAATAATACATTTATAATTCAAATATAAGCGGTTTTGGCCTTTAAGACCTTTTTGTACTTTATCTTTTTAATTTATAACGAACCCGTTATAAATATTGATCCGCAACCCTAGCGTCTGCTCGTCGGCCGATGACCGTAGCGACGCCGTCGAGAGCTCATTACACTTTTAACACTGCCCCAAATCTGAACACCTGAACTATTCATTCTCTGTATCGCTAATGCCATTTCCTAAATTTAATGTCTTCATATAAAACATTATCACAGCAATATGATAAAATTGTGCTCTATTGTAGACGTTTTACATATACACTGTACCACGTTCTAACAAATAAACGTCTCTTTCTTTCTTCTTCTTCCTACAAAATGTATATAGACTGAAAACCATACACAGAACAATTATTTGTAATGGTGATATCAGATGATTGTTTTTTTTTTTTTTGTTCATTTTCGTCTTTCATTTTCAAACTTTAACGCGAAATAAAACATTTGAAAAAAAAAATGAAAGAAAAATTGCTGCATGAATTCGCTAATAAAAAATCCAACAACTCGTAATGAACGAAAAATTACCAATCTCAACACAGAGAGAACGTTCTCTCGGTTTTGGTAATTTTGTCTTCATTACTGTAAGCAGACGGACGTACCAAAACGCACTACTTTATTTGACGATAAATTGAAAGAAATGTGTTGATGAATAATATTTCCCTATGTCCTTCCAAATAATTCATGTGAACATGGAATAAAAGAAAAGTGGTGAACTTCGTTTTATTCGAATGAATTCTAAAAAAACCGTCCGATATCACCTCAAGAAATAAAAAAAACATATCTTGCAGTTAAACCCACGACTCGTTGCGCCAATTGAAGCAAACAGATTATTTATCTGTATTAAATAAACCTCTTGACTAATAAAGTAATTGATTTCATTTCTTAATTAAACCATGATTTGTTATTTTTTATTTCAAACCGAATGGTAACATATATATATATATATAAAACAGAATGTATGTCTGATGATGACTATGATTTTTATGAGCCATGATAGCTCTGTGGCCGGACGCTCGCTTTTACTCTACTCGAGCAACCTGAATACAAATCCCGGTCCAACACCAATTAAATTGATAATTGTTAATTTTAAGTGTTGACTTATCACGTGCTCAGCCGTGAAGGAAAATATCGTGAGGCCTGTACTTTTTTTTTTGAAACAATAACAGAAAAAAAAATTCGAAGGCACGAAGTCTGCCATCCGAGTCGCCTCGTAGACTACTGCCTTAGTGGCATCTATACAGAGGGAACATTTACTCAGCAGTGCTGATTAAAGACCTCCTCTGTATACCTGAGTCACATTTAAGCTGTTAGTTTAGTTTACGCTTTTTTATGCAGGACAAACATTATGGTGAGAGATGACCGACAATAGGACACTATATACCAGAGAAGCTGCAAAACATTGTCGGCAATTAAGCAATGAATACTTACTTAAACCAAAAAATTAATTTAAATTAAATCACATAGACCACGTTAACATAAAGTAAATTGTATTTATTAAAAATCCATCAAGAAAACTTCAAAAAATAAACCATTCCGTACAAATAAATCCGAATCACTCGTAAAAAAGTAATAATGGTGAAATGTATACGGACAAAGACGATGTGACTGCGCAGGCTGTATTGTGCTCTGATCCCGCTCCGATACCGAAAGTCTTCACGTTAGGCAGATAGCTAACGAGCGATTGGAATAGCGACCCTTTGCTGTCGAGAACGACCTTGTTCTTGTAATCCTCCAACGTGTCGTCCTCGTCTGCCGCGCGTCTTTTGGGCGATGTCTTCGTTCTTTCAAGCTCCATTTTGAACTTCTTAAACTCCTCGCTTTCCGTCGAGCGTAGTTCACGACGTACCTGTCGAAATAAAATTTCACCATTGCCATCCCAGAATGTAATTAAAGGAATAGTCTCTTCTTCTAACAGTATGTTTTATCTCTTTTAAATTCCTTCAACCCATTCATTTGCTTTGTGACTTTTACAAATGAATTTTACGTTACAGTTTTATACGTAAGGGTGTTCTAAAAATCTCTGTTTTGTAAAATTTTATAATTTTATAACTATTTATACATCTTTAAAAAGTTATCCTCTATATTTCCCTTCATTTATTGTCGCGGTTGGAACGACACGCTGAATACCTATAAAAAACTTCAATGACGAAACAAACACCATGTAATGTTAAAAAACGTCACTGCATAGTTTTCGGCCCGCGTGTCTGTCTGACTATGTATGCTTAGATCTTTAAAACTACGTAACGGATCTTGATGCGGTGTCTTTACTAGATTGAATGACTCATGAGGAAGGTTTGTATAATACATGGCAGCCGTGCGAAGTCGAGGCGGGTCGCTAATAGACTTATAAATTTCAAAAGCAAAGTGTTTACCGTAAAGGCAGCACACTAGATGGCGCTAAGCAATATTAAAAACTTCAATAAAAACAAAAGTAGATAAAACGTTGGTTTTCCGGCGGTTCTGGATTCTACTGCCTAATTGGTGGTTACACATTATATCCATTCATTTTCCGGAATGCGAAAATCCTTCAACGGTTATGCATACCTCATTTGAAGATTCACCATCTTAAGTGCAAAAAAAAAGAAATTAATTTTAGGACGTGTCTAGTCTGAATGAAACTAGTTTCATTTAAAATCATTAATATTCGCGTAAAGATCAAGAAATCAATATCTTTATTTCTGGTTCTACTAATTGTGGCAGATTTACATTGGACTGGGCGAAGGAAAGCTATCCGTAGATTGGTTTCCCATAGATTGCTCCATTCGCAATAAAGTCTCTTGTATTTCCCGAGCAGTTTCGGCTGCAATTATATAATCACGTGACTAAAAAATACATAACTATTGATTTTATTTTCATGTATAGCAGTGTAAGTGTGTATATATGCTCGACCATTAATACTGTTTCTTCAAGGACCATTTTTATCAGAAACGAGTTCAAAATTAGTACTCCGATACAAGCAAACGACCAATGCCAACAAATAAATTTTCCGTAACCAATAAATTTTCCGAATACTCCTTTTTAATTTATTAAATTAATGTTTGTGTTATATAAATATGTGTTATTTTTTATCAAATGAATCATGTTGGATTTGAATTTTTGAAAATATATTTAATATTTGTGCAAGGATTCCCGGCGAGCTGCACTTACGATTGGAAAAGTAATCCTGAATAACTTTATCGCTTATTTCTGTGTCATCATCGTTTGAAACGCTATTGCTCAAGGTACTTGAAAACTCTGTCAAGTTTTTGTCTATAGCTTTGACTTCTGAGCTTGTTCCATTAGAATTTTCAGAATTTTTCGTTCTTCTATCAAGAAACGATATTTCTGTAATAATTTTCCGTTTTAAAAATTTTGTCTTTGACATTATCAGGATTGTATATTAACGACGCACCTTCTCTATTATATAATTCTATAGGAAAACCAATGCCTTTATTGTCATCATCTGTAACTGTTTGAATGTTCATACGTACTTTTTCTATCGTAGAATTTTTCGGAATGAAATCTGTATCTGTAACATACACATTATGTTTATTTCAATCGAGTATAGTTAGTCTAAATAATTCTTATTTGCAAACTTACTTTGCATTATCTTTTCATCTTCCTTACTTAATTCATACAAATAGTAAGGCTTTGGTCTCCCAACAAATCTCAATTTTCTCCTAGGTTTGCTGACTTTACGCAAGTACTTCCTTATTTTTCTTCTTTCGCGTAAAATTCTGTTGTTTAAAACATCATTGTAGTCTTCTAAATTAACTCCCAGATTTTCAACAATTTCCTTCAAGCTTCTAGAACGGTTTCTTTGAGATCTTGTATTTAACTGCTCCATTGTAACAGCTGCTAATTTCGTCAGGTAGATTTCGTCTAAACCTCCAAAATGATCAAGTGATGAATTTGTTTCTAATTCTAATAATGAACTTAAAAGTATAATTTGTTCTAATGATATATTGTTCTTCTTGTCATCGAATTTCTGAATGTCATCTGAAATTAATTTCTGCGTTTTACTTTTGCCTCACTTATAACAATGATGGTCGTTCCTGCACGATAGATCTGCAATCTTATTACTTATAATTTTTTTTTTTTGATTTCCGTCATGGAAGATCTCAGTCGATAATTTTATATGATTTATTAGTTATTAAACTTTAATAAAATTGCAACAACACTGATTGTTCCATGTGTTTGTTATCATAATATTAAAACATATTTGGGTTGTCCTCACGAAGGTGTAACATGACTTTTACTTTTATTTTAAATCATGTTTTTGCTTTCAGTCCATAGACTATTATCGCTTCATCAAATGCAGAACTCGTAGTAATCGTGAACTAGCCATAGCCCACGAGATTGATACGGCCCTCCTCCACATTTAGGAAACCGGGAGTATTATAAACGTTGACGATTCAACTTGATTTAATACTTAAATGTTATTAAATTTTTATAATATTGCAACAACACTGAATGGTGAAACGAATCTATAGCTTATATTTGAGGGATAAAGACTGAATTATTTCGGATACTGTACATGAAACATATCATAAATAATAAAAAGTCTTATGTTTAATGATTAATACTAATCTTGTCTTTCGTTTTACTCTTCAAAAAACAAAGTCAAATTCTTTGAATTTTTATCAAAGAGTCTTTCATTCGCAATAAAAAAATGTAAAGTAATCAAATTTCTTAATAAAAATAGATTTGGTTTGGAGGGGACACCCCTATGACCCTCCCTCTGGATCCGCGTTTATGGTCAACGTGGAATGAAGATTTTTAATTAACTCACACATTGCGCACAAGCCGGCGTACTGGATGGAGGGGCGGGAGCGCGGGGGGCAAGCGGTGGCGGGGAGCGCGGCCGTCCACATGGGGCGTGCGGCACGTGGGCCACGTGGGGCCATGTTGCAACCAACCGCTCGACGGTGCGCGGTCGACCGTGCCACAACGACTAAAAATATCAACTATGCCTAAGGGGAAATTGCACGAGGCTTTGTAGCTTAAATTCAACCATCACGTTACGACGTTGTGAAGTTGTAATAGTTGCAGTTATAATTTTAACAGTTCAGTTTATAGACGCGTCGGCTCATTGGAAAAGGAATTTTGCATGACTTTGCAATGTTACTAATTAAAAGTGCCGAAGCCTATACCGTGGCGCATTTGCCAAGGTATTAGCTCGGTCGAGGTCAGTAAATTTAACCATGAACAAACAGACAAGAAAGAATTCACTACAACATTTTTAGATTATAACGTTACACTATAATATGACTAATAAGAACAATACGTTAATGGAGGAGGAGTAAAAAATAACGTCAAAGTTGCGATTTATCTATCAATCACTTTGCTGTCATTGGACCATGCGATCTAACACTAACATAGTAAAGTATAAGAAACAGCCATACCATGAACCTACTTCGAGCGCAGCCCACCATAAACGTCGGCGACCACAGCATTTGGGCGAAGTCACCGTAGTAACTGAGGTTGTGAGGTGGGCTGAATAGGGAACAACAACTCATTAAATAAAGAATAGAGAAAAGGCATAGAGAAAGCTAATGCTTACCACGTACCACGGTAGCTGATTTATAAGACAATCTACAGGGAATATTAATGTTAAATTGTATGAATTGAATAAATACTATAAGAATAGAGTAAGATCGTCCGGGAGAATCCTTTTACATTTCATCTGGTGAGTTCGCTAACTAGGTTATACTCATTCTAAACTTGGCAACGCATCTGCGATCTGGTGTTATTGATACAATATATGATATTGAGAGATTATCGACGCCTGTGGACATCAGTGAATGGAATGGCGGTAATAACTTAACATCAGATTACTTGCCCGCTTTATCGCTTTGAATCCACTCTAATTAGGCATACGCAATGTGTACTATAAATAAATAAATATAATACAAATAACTATAAAAAAAGAATGTTAACCATATTAATAATAATTAACCATACTCTGATTTTTAATACCAAGTCAGTCGCAGCATATTAATTAGCAAATGCAAGCAAGCTTAGAATGGTGCTACTCAAATCTTCGGGTTATTAATGTTAAATGGAAAAACTGTTAATAGCACTCCAATTAATATGAAATTCAATTAAATGAATTTTAAAATATATATCCACATTTATAAATATACCAAATTTGCATAGTCCAAAAGTACCATTTGTTGGACACGTCGCTACATACAGGAAACATAATCTACGAATTAACGGAATTTTTATGTGTAACTATTAAGTTTTTCGTAAAAATTCCGTTCGAATTACGACTGGAATTCGCTGAGATCAGCGAGCTCGCTGAAAAGCGTGTACAGGTCTATAAATATATAAATCTTTTTAAATATATCGTTAGAAATTTACACTCACGCAATGTACCAGCTGACGTTGCCTTTGTAGTGCCTGCCCTGCATAAACCACAAGTCGACCATGGACTCGACGCGTAGACCAGGCGCCTCGCCCACCACTGACGCTACGTTCTGACCCACGGGAACTGAATCTGTTTTTGCCGATTGCAAATTTTAAACAGACTATGATATACATTCAGACGTCCAACGCCTCAGTCTGTCCCGTGACCATGAAAGCTGTAAAGCGTGCGACACGTCGGAAATTATTATTGAAGGGAAACAAAATTAATAATAAACGTTTCATCTTTTTTCATATAATATGCAATGACGTAACGACAAGAAAATATGATATATTAACATTTAAATCTACCTATGAGTTACCTGCTTTAGGGTTCCAATCATCCAATCGCAAATTGTTGGGTGGTTTTTTACCGGTTTGTTGCAATTGGTTTCTTAATATTTTGTGATGTATTGATATGAATGATAAAGTCATAAGTCAAGGCGAACACGTTCGAATTGAGAGTATTATCGCCATTTATCCTCCAAAACGCTGCTTATTTATTTATTTATTTATTGAGGTTTACCAGCAGTTGTTACACCCATACAATTTATATTAACAGTACAGTAATTATAACTAAGTGTACAACTTTTTTAAGGTAAACACAACATGCACACATAATGTATAAAAAAAAAGTTAAAATAATGAAAAGCCTACTTTATTACATTAAAAAAGAAACAAAAAATAATAAAAAAATTAATCGTTTTCTAATAAGTAGTAATTTACAATAAGTAGTTGCTAATGTATAGCCATAAAGAAAAAAAATATTTGAAAAAAAAATATAAAAAATCAATTAAAAAGACAATTATAAATCCTAATACAAAATACAAAAATGAATAGAAGGATTAAAAAATCATTATTCAATTTTGCGTCAAATTTCGAATTAATTTGCAGCGGAAATGTCTTAAAGAATCAAAAAAAATATCCAAAGATCCACTACATTCGTTAAAATTTTTACTTAATCGTGCAATAACAGAATTTGCACCCAGTTTTGTTTGGCGAAACGGAACTTTTAATGGTTTTATTGGTTTTCGCGGTACACTTCTAGGAACATTATAACGTAGTCGGCTCAAAAGTTCAGAACAGTCTAAATAATTTACAAGTTTGTATAGAAACATCATGTCCAAAATGCTTCTCCTATGTTCTAGGGATATCATTTGAAACTGCCGGAGTCTTTCGTTATATGACTTTAAAACTTTGACTGTGCAAGTACATGAAGAAAGGTGCCACAGGAATCTTTTTTGTATCCGTTCCAGCCTTAGTGTATGTGTCGCATAGTGCGGCGGCCACACTACACTGCAGTACTCTAAATTGGGTCGTACTAAGCTGTTGAATAAGGAAATTTTTGTTTTAATTTGTTTAAATGATTTCCCATTCCGCATCACAAACCCCAACATTTTTAATGCTTTTTGAATTATTTCTGTGGTATGGGGTATAAATGTTAGTTTTGAGTCCAGTATAACCCCTAGGTCTTTTATGGAGTCTACTTCTAGTAAGAACTGGTGCTGTATGTGGTATTGTGATGGTATGATATGGTGATTTCTGGTAAATTTGATGTGAAGGCATTTCTGAATATTAAGCTTCATACCATTTTTGTTACACGAATCCTGAAGCCTATTGAAATCCTCTTGTAATAATATGGTATCTGTTTTAGATTTTACTATTTTAAAGAACTTAAGGTCACCAGCAAATAAGAAAGGGATTGAGTGTAAGAAGCCGTCACAGATGTCATTAATAAAAAAGTTAAATAGGACAGGGCCCAAATGCGATCCCTGTGGAACACCAGATGAAATATTTTCTAGTAAAGATTCGTCAAACAATTTATCAGTAGGGGGGTCGTTGGAATATACAGATGAAAAGTATTTTGCGAATGAATTACATATATCTGGACCAGTGTTGATATTATTAGAGCAATCATTGAATTCTGCAGGATAGGTGCTCTTTCTTTTTCTTTTGTTTTTTATGTAGGACCAAAATATTTTAGGATTCGTCTTAATCCCATTTTCAATGTCTTTCAGGTAATTATCATAATTTTCTTTGGCTATCTTTTTACATCGCTCGCTTAATAGATTTAATTCTATCTTGTCTAACGGATTTTTATATTTCAAAAGACGTTTCCTAAGACGATCTTTTTCTTTAAGGCGTTTCGAAAAACTACGTTTTAACCAGATTGGAGTCGCAGCGCTTTTTTTGCAGCCATAGGAACAAACATTGCTTCTGTTTTACAAATTTCCTCATTGAAAACCTCTACCATTTGACTTACGGTGCGGCAATCGCTGAACATTTTTTCCCAGTTAATGCTATCTAGGTATTTTCTTAAAGCTACATAATCAATAAAAAATTTCTTTTTGTTTTACGCGGATTCTCTAACATGGCTCTATCACTAAATGTCGATATATAAATGTCTAAAGGTGGATGTAGTGGATCAATGGTCTTCTTATTCATTGGTCGATTCACTCAAGTTACACAAAATTCAATTCTTTCTCCTGCTCTTATTCCACATAGGTTTTTCTAGGTTTGGCGACGTTTTTTACGACCAGCCGCTTACAACCTGACGTCAACCGTCATTGGGAACAAACAACCAGGTCCGGAACAATTTTCAAGTTACACAAAAATACTTTCTCGTGAAAATTACTTTTCAAAACTCACACAAATCACGGCATAGATCGTGTTGTTCTGGAAATTCCGGTGGGGAGCACTGATTGGCCCACAACTGGGCTTCATGCGCCAGCTCTTCCACCCATCGCTGGAGGCATTAATTAGATATACATAATTGAAACACCAATTGTTGAACTTTGATCTAAAATTTATCTCATTTTTCAGGAATAACGAAGGAAAGGCTCATGAATTTTAAGCATTTATTTCATCAAGTTTTTCAGAAATTATTATATCCTTACATGTAACAATAAACCCGTAATACGAATATCGCCTTTACTGAGAATTAAGCGCACGTCAAAACAAAGTCAAACTAGTTATCAACCATATCATTACTTTGTAATTTTTTTTTTTTTTTTTTATGGGAAAAAAAAAAGCAGCAAACGAGCAGGAGGCTCACCTGATGGTAAGTGATCACCGCCGCCCATGGACATCTGCAACACCCGAGGGCTTACAAATGCGTTGCCGGCCTTTTAGGAATGAGTACGCTCTCTTCTTGAAGGTTCCCAGGTCGTAACGGTTCGGAAAGACCGCCGGCGGCAGCTGGTTCCACAGAGTGGTTGTGCGAGGCAGGAAATGCCTTGAAAATCGCGCTGTTGTGGAACGCTGGACATCGAGGTGGTGTGGATGAAATTTTTGGTTTTGGCGCGATGTCCGATGGTGAAATTCAGCCGCTGGGATCAATCCAAACAATTCCTCGGAACACTCCCCGTGATAGATGCGGTAGAAGATGCAGAGTGACCCAACATCTCTACGCATAGCCAAAGGATCAAGCTGATCGGAAAGACCTTGATCGTCGATAACCCTAGCTGCCCTACGTTGGATGCGGTCAAATGGAAGAAGCTGGTAACAGGGGGCTCCCGCCCAGAGGTGAGAGCAGTACTCCATGTGGGGCCGAATTTGCGCCTTATAAAGGTTTAGGCGTTGAGCCGACGTGAAGTACTGTCTCGCCTTGCTGAGCACACCGAGCTTCTTTGAGGCCAATTTGGCCTTACTTTCCAATTGACCGCGGAACTGGACATTGCTCGAGATTTCGACGCCAAGTATTCCGATACTAGCTGTGACAGACAGGGGAGTGTTCTCAAAATGAGGAGTCACGACAAATGGGGACTTTTTAGCGGTTAACGCGCAAACTTGTGTCTTATCGGGGTTGAATTGGACTAAATTTAGTCGACCCCAGTCTGAGACTTTTGTTAACAAAGTCTCGACTTCAGACACAAGTTTGTTCCGGCTCTCGTAGACGTTTTCCCGAGAAATGTTAGCACGGCCTGTGTACGAAACATCCACAGTGCTATCATCCGCATAGCAATGAACGCTGCTGATTTGCAACATATCATTGATATGCAGAAGAAACAAAGTGGGGGACAGTACGCAGCCTAACGCCTGTAATTATTACTTTTTAGCTGCACTTAAGATGAAATTCAAATATTAGTCACATATGCAATTTACCATTTAAATTCACATTTAAAAACAAAATAACGATCAAGTTTTAGGTATCACCGCACCAATGTGAGCATGTCCCCGGCACTGGGCAGGTTGCCGAGCATCCCGAGGGCTGCGTCGTTCCGTCTGTGATTCATACGCATAATGATATTTATCTTCTCCTCTTTTGTGAGGGCAGCCGGCATGAACCCGATACATTGCGGTCCAGGACCCTCCTGTAAAGTCGATTTTCGAATTGTAACAGTGTATCACTACATAGTATAAAACAAAGTCGTCCCGCTGTCTGTCTGTCCCTATGTATGCTTAGATCTTTAAAAGTACGCAACGGATCTTGATGCGGTTTTTTTACTAGATAAAGTGATTCAAGAGGAAGGTTTTATGTATAATTAATTGTACCCGTGTGAAGCCAGGGCGGGTCGCTAGTGTGATAATAAATTGCTAAAACTTATAATCGAATCAATTAAAAGGCTACTCTCACGGCCAATCGGTGTATGTACCGACTATTTATAGAACCCATCGGAGTTCCTTCATGCGGTGCTTTATCCTATCCTAATGAAGGACCTCCATTAGGTTTAATAGTGGTAGGGCCACGCGACAGTCTTCACTATTGCACGGACGGGCAGGTCGCAGGAACCATCCGGGTAAGTACCACGACCTCACAGAAAACCGGCATGAAGTGAAAGTGTTACACTCCTGCGTTTCGTCTGTTTGCCGCACTTTATTAAAAGGTGGCAACGCATCTTATCTTGTTCCTCGCATGGATATTTGCAACCCTACGGGATTTCAAGAATTTGCGGTTTGTAATTACCATTTAGGATAACGTTGGTAAGACAATGTCGAAAAGACAATAGCTCTATGATTCTCTGTTTACTATATTTAAATCACCATATTGACAGCGGCCTTGTGGCTCTATGTCTGCATATACTGTACATTATGCATTTAGAGCTTTAAATGGACTTATGGGTTAATCATATTGCATTTTCATATGGAACCTTTTGCGTTATAATTTTGGTGGGTTAAAGTAAGAGCAATCAGGGCCTTAACTAATAAGCGACCGAAATGATGGAATTATGTGAGAAGGTAGCAACTAAGCTGAAGGTTCAACTGATGTTAAGTGATAACCGCCGCCTTAAAACAGATGATGCATGTCCATACTACGCGGCATTTAAAAATTGTTCGGCTGTACAGTATATGACAGATATAAGTGAATGTGACAGATGATATAGAACGTATGGGACGGAAAGAGATAGCAGTCTATGGAATTGCAATCTAATTACACCAATTAGTGTAATTCGAGCGCCACAGTTTCGGTGCGCTAGTGTCATATCTACCTGGTATTTGTATATATCATTGATCTATATTTACTACTCTATCACCCATGAAACTTACAGAGTATTGGCAAAATGTGTGCGTGTCCGAATTTGCGCACATTTTCGCGCCACAATAATTTATATTCGATGACACCGTCCTCGTTAAATGCGAACAGACCAAAATAAAAATAATACATTGCATTTTCGCTGTTGAAAAATTAAATAATTACAAGCATTGCGGATATCTGCTGACAAAATGTTACTTTGACAGCCGAAAGTAAGACAGAAACCATAAAGAAAAGAAATAGAAAACTTTTGTAACAAAATTCCCAAACGCGGCTTACATTTGCAAAGGTGCGAGTTGGTAGAAATTGTCCCATATGAAATAGCTTTATGCCCCCTCCATTAGAATCAAGGCTAGTTTACTTTCTCACTTTCTATCCGTCTCTTTTAAAAATCTTGTATCTTGTATCCAGCGTTCCACAACAGCGCGATTTTCAAGGCATTTCCTGCCTCGCACAACCACTCTGTGGAACCAGCTGCCGCCGGCGGTCTTTCCGAACCGTTACGACCTGGGAACCTTCAAGAAGAGAGCGTACTCATTCCTAAAAGGCCGGCAACGCATTTGTAAGCCCTCGGGTGTTGCACATGTCCATGGGCGGCGGTGATCACTTACCATCAGGTGAGCCTCCTGCTCGTTTGCTGCTTTTTTCCCATAAAAAAAAATCTTGTATTAACTGATGTTTTTGCTTTCAGTCCCGAGACTATTAAAGCTTCATCTGACGCAGAACCGGTGGGCTAGCCAGAACCCACGGGTTTGGGCTCTCCGCTGTGGGTAGGGCCGCGCATGTGCTCATGCGTGCGTTTAACTACGACATGTCATCTAAGGGCCATCGAAGTTGCGGTGCGGACCGAGACCCCGATGGCCGTCGACTGTGTTTTTAGCTAATCGGTGGCTGGGGGCGGTGAGAACCGCCCTGGAACGCGGGTGTACCTTGTGTACGCGTTGTGTTGGTCTCGCCGTGCTCGGAGGCGAGGGCGAACTAGTGTGTTTGTTGTTGCACTAACTGTGGGTGTAGTGTTATCCGGCGGGACCCCCGGCGGTGGGTCCGGCGTCTCTAAGTCCCCTTCCTCATCCGGGTCGATGAGGACTTTTCGCGGGCGACGCTTGTTGACGTTCGCGTTTGTGTCGGGTTGGTAATTTGCTGTTAATTTGCTAATTTTAAAAATAAAGTAAGTAATCGCGTAACGTTTTTTTAGTGTTAGTTTTTTTTTTTGTTATTTAAAATTTCATTAAATGAATATAATTCCTAAAATAGAAAATGAAACTTGATTTCATTTCTAACTACTTACATTATTTGCATTGAATAAATGTTGGAAAATAAAAAAAAAATATATTATTATGTGGACTGTTTCAAATTATATTCAAAATGTTATACTGTCTGTGTCTATCGGTATGTCTGTCTGTCTGACCGTCTGTCACTAGGCTGTATCTCATGAATCGTAATAGTAAGACAATTGAAATTTTCACAGATGACGTATTTCCGTTGCCGCTATAACAAAAAATACTAAAAAACAGAATAAAAAGATATTTTATTGGAGCTCGCATTCAACAGACACGATTTTTTTGCCATTTTTATAATAATGTTACGGAACCCGTTTCCGTTGCGCTGGGCCGGTTTTTTATGTTACTAGGTGGCATGCGAACTGACGGTTCACCTGCTGTTAAGTGATAGCCTTAGGCACCCTTAGGGTTGCAGCGTCGCCACCTTTTAATAAAGTGCGCCCCGGCCACCTCACTCGCCGAAGTACAACACTTTCGCTTCACACCGGTCTTGTGTGAGGTCGTGGTACTTATTATACCTACCCTGACGAACCTGCCCATTCGTCCAACAGGGTTGTCCGTTAGACATGGGCATGATGTTGCGTATTACCACATCTGTACCACTATTAAAAAGATAACTGGAAGTGTCGTTGCAATTTCATAACACTGTCTTAACTGTTATTTGCATGATGCACTGGACAAACACCCGCCACAGAAATGTTCTAAATTATTTTTTTTTGTCCTTTATTCTTAACCCTTAAATGCATGATGATGTATATATACATCAGTGTTTTCTTCCTTACATCATTTCTAAACGATAACTCAAATACAGTATTTTATACTTTTAATAGGTGCTAAAAATATCTATCTTAGTTTTTGAACGCAAGCTTTCATGATATGGCAGTTCACTTTTTTATATGTCATAATTTGACCGTTTGGCGCAACACTTTCAAATATACACTTTGGCGGTAAAATTGTAATGTCATTTTAGTGTAACTAAATAGTATTATTGCGTGCTAAAAGTGATTTACGAGAGGAAAAAGGTAAGTAGAACACATTATATATTTTTTTTTTAGAATACAGTAACAGTTTTTGTAAATATCAGTGGTATAAATTGTGATGTAGAAATACATCAGTATGCAAAATAGGCAAGAAATAGTATTACTATAGGTATAATATATTTATTATTTATTTTTGACTTATTTGTTATAGATACGTAATTTATTCATATGAATTTTATAATTATTTCTCCAGAATGTCCCGTAAAGTGGCAGATAGAGAAATAGAACAACTTCTGGCGACTTTAGAAGATGGAAATATTTCTGAGGATGGCTTAGAAGATGAAAATGAAGATGAAGAAACCTTTTTCGCTAATGCAAGAGAAATGATTCGAGAGTTGGAAGACGAGGATGCAGAGCATCATGAAGATCCTACCTATTGTGATCCACCACTGGTTCAAGATTTGCCTGGCCCATCAAGTCAAATTATTAGTTCATTACCCATGCAAGAAGGTCATGAACATAATGTAGAGTTTGATAAAAGGAAACTCATTTGGAAAAAAGACAGTTTGTTGTATGACGAATCGAAAATAATTCACCAACCAAGCACAACAGACTGTGCTATAACTGAACTTGATACACCATATAAATGTTTTTTGCACAACTTCACACCTGAGTTTCTTCAAAAAATTGTTGATGAAACCAACTTATATGCAGTACAAAAAAAAACCCTTCAATATCTTTCTCTATTACTGTTGGCGAGTTAAAAAAATTCATAGGAATTCTTTTATTTATGTCAGTAGAGCATTTCCCTACTGTACGTTCATACTGGCATTCCAAATTTGGGTACGATCCTGTAAAGAGCGCAATGCCGGTAAATCGGTTTGAGATGATTAGGAGCTACTTACATTTCAACGATAATAATAATCATCTTCCGCGAGACCATTCCGATCACGATCGCCTCCATAAGATTCGACCTGTGATAGAACAGCTAAATACGACATTTTCATCATCAGTTGCAATAGACCAACGACTTTCGATAGATGAGCAGATGTGTTCAACTAAAATTGCACATTTCCTAAAGCAATATTTACCAAATAAACCTCACAAATGGGGTTATAAGCTTTTTGTTCTCTGTAATCTCATGGGATATGCTTACAGATTTGAGGTCTATTCTGGTCAAGAAGAAAAAAAAGACAAACCAGCCGATGAGCCTGATCTCGAAATAACAAATAATCGTCGTTATACGTTTGGCGAGAGCTATACCAAGGATGAACAATCATATTGTATTCTTCGATAATTTTTACACATCCCTGCCTTTGCTAAATTATTTGAATAAACAGGGTATACAATGTGTCGGAACTATTCAGCAAAACAGGCTACCGAATTGTCGACTTCCTGACAAAAAGGAACTTATGAAAACTTCTGTTCCGAGAGGTACATATGAGGAACGCGTTTCCCATTCAGATGGAGTAGACTTTTCGGCCACTGCGTGAAAAGATAATAAAGTCGTCACTCTTTTATCGACTTACGTTGGCTCAGATGGAGTAGACTTTTCGGCCACTGCGTGAAAAGATAATAAAGTCGTCACTCTTTTATCGACTTACGTTGGCGCCGAGCCTGTAGGAAAAAATTCAAGATACGATAAGAAGGCCAAACAAAAAATTGACATCCCTTGTCCCAAAATTGTGCAAGAGTACAATATGCATATGGGCGGAGTCGATCTGATGGATAGCTTTTTAGGACGCTATCGGATTCGAATAAAGAGCCGGAAATGGTATTTACGCTTGTTTTATCACCTTCTGGACCTCACTACAATCAACTCATGGGTGCTTATGAAAAAAAATCTAATTGCTAAAGGTTTATCAAAAAAGCAACTGCTCAGCAGATGCAGCAAGATGCCCAATTGTAAGGGCACCACACAATGGTCGTGTACCAAATGTAATGTACCGTTGTGTCTAAATCAGAGAAATAACTGCTTCAAAGATTTTCATTCACTGCAGTAAGCCTAATTCGAAGATAATCGTTTATACGATAGTACTTATGCTACATTTTTAATAGTAACTGTAATGCATACTGATGTAGATATACATCAGTAAAAAAAAGTAAAAAATACTTTTTTTATAAAAATATACTTTTTAGAATAAAAAAATTTTTTTCTTTATTTTTCCCTTAATCTATGTTTAATTATCTACCTGTTTCAATGTATGGTATCTAAAAAGGAAAAATCATGAATTTAAGGGTTAACAACTATTAACTGAACAATAATTATTTCGGCTTCCGTTACTTTTTTACTTAGAAATCGTTTAAAATGGTGGTAGGTAAGTAATGTTTAGTTAGCTAATGTTTCTATTTACATAAAGGTGACTATTTCTATACAGGATTATATGAATAGCGAAACTCCAATACTTTCTAAATGTACTTTTTTAATGAATATTGGCAGTGGGAATATTGGGCCAAATAAAACTTGTGGAACGCTAACATAAAGATTATATTGTAATAGAAATTTACAATTATTTAATTAGACTTATCAGAGCAATTGACCGGTCGTGTCTTTTCTTCTGTTCCTCAGTTGTCAGTGCGCCGGTGTTGTCATAGACAAAATTATACAATATTATTATTAGGGCGTTTATAAAGTATGTTATTTATGTGCAAAGTATTGTACAGGCAGTAGGTAGGGAGTAACTCAAAACATACCGTATAATGAGACAAAAACAATTTTAAACCATTTATTTGACTGATAGTAAGAATAACAACATCAAAAATATTTTTTTCACTTATATAAATATATTGTGATATTCAAATAAATTACAAGTACTAGTGGTGCTGACGCCGATTAAACAACTTATAAGCAATTGTAAATTAACATTATCTTAATTAATAAATAATTGGATACAAGACATTAGGGAAATATAAATTATAAGTACGTTACAGTAAAGTTACATTCTTAATTCGCATCTGTGATAATGTTGTAATATAAAACTAAAAAAAATATATCACATTGTAATAATAAATAAAATGGCTTGAATGGAATTTACATAATTGACAATTCAGTATAAATAAATATTGTACGATTTTATTTTAAAAGTTTTATAAAAAATATTAAATAAATATGTAAAATAGACAAATGAATCATTTGATATATGGCAATTTAGAAATAATATAACCCAAAAAAATATCAATTAAAAAAAACCTTTTAAGCCCTCGATTAATATGACAAAGATAATGTGGCACATAGTTATTACCCTAACCTATTTTTGAAAAATCCAGAAATTTCTCAATACAAATTCAAAGAAATTTTTCCCATATAAAGTAATTTCATGTCCATTAATTAAGACGTAGAAGCCTATTAGAATGAAATTAATTTCGGCTCTATTCTAAACTGTTCTGTAGTTCTCCTCACTGTAACTTCATCAAGTAATAAAGAGAAAACGAGACTTCGTTTTCATTTGAGAGGAGTATGAAATCATGTGCGCATTAATACTATTTTAAAACAAAAGCTATTGGTTCACACGAGCTCGAGATAAATATAATTTGAATAAATCAATTACGGTTTTCACTTTCTAGTGATGAAAGTAAAGCCGAAGGTTTTTTTTTTTTTTTTTTAAATATTTAGGACACATTTGTACACAACATTTTCTAGTCCCAAACTAAGCAAAGCTTGTACTATGGGTACTAGAAAACTGATAAACATACTTAAATATACTTTTCTTTTGTAAATAAATACATATTATACATATAGAAACACCCAGACACTGGAAAAACACCATGTTCATCACACAACATTTTTCCAGTAGTGGGGATCGAACCCACACCCTCTGGCGCAGGAGGCAGGTACACTACCCACAACGCCATTCGGGTCGTCAAACTTGATTGAACTGTAACAACACTAGCTAGTTATCACACATAATTCAATTTGAATTATCGCAATCTGATTAACGCCCCGTTTCTGATACACTGTTCATCGTAGAAGTTAACTAATCAGCTGTCAAATGGCTTTTCAAATGTTATTTTAGTTGCCATATAGACTGTTAAACTTAGAGTTGAACATTCTGATCATTAAGAAGAGCATTCTAATCAATTCAAAGAATTTAACAATCCTTTTGCAACTCAAATAACATTTGAAAAGCCATTTGACATCTGATTAGTAAACTTCTACGATTATCAGTGTATCAGAAACGGGGCGTAACTATCAAACAAAATGCACTTTGACGTACTTTAGACTGAATTATCACAATCTAAGTGAACTATCAAAATATATTCACTTCGGGTTAAGTTATCAATCACGGATTACAATAGCAAACTCCGTAGACTCGACTTTGTCTTTGTCATCATACATAACCTGTTAATTGTCAGATTTTCATCTCCGAACCTATTGGTGATTCAGTCAGTGACCGTCATAAGTGATGTAATTGAACCATTGACCAAATGGGCAGGCTGTTCCGGGGTTTTATTATTTTATAGCTTTATTTTTATTAAGTACCACGGCTTTATAAACGACCTTGAAGTGGATGTGTTAAACTTTCCCATTTCGTCTGGTGAGTGAGGTAGCCTCAGCAATCCACCGATTGTTGCAGACGTGAATGGGAGGCGGTATTCACTTAACATCAGGTGAACTGACTGCTCGCTTGACAACAATTCTCATAAAAAAATGTGGTGCAGATTGCTCGTTCATTGGTCTTCAGGTCGAGGTAGGTAATACATGGAGTCGATGAAGTGTTTGGTTATGTCGGAGACGAGGCTCCTGTCTGATATCTCCTGGGCGACCCCGTAGATCGCCATCTGGAAAGCATGCACCAAGTATGAATGTGTATGTAGACTAGTTTAGTATAATTTTTTTCTGAAAGAAGTTGTTTTGGAAACACTTTTGATACTCCTAAATATAAAGATCATAGGAGGCGAAATCTGTTTATTTAATTGCGTCAGAGCTCACCTTCCCTTGCAGCCCTACAGTGTATTGGCAGACTTCACATAATTTCGAATTAATCGTAAGGGAAAAGGAGTCTTATTATAGGGCGTCAGAGCTCACCTTCCCTTGCAGCCCTACAGTGTATTGACAGACTTCACATAGCTTAGAATTAATCGCAAGGGAAAATGAGCCTTATCCAATGGCGTCAGAGCTCACCTTCCCTTGCAGCCCTACGGTGTATTGGCAGACTTCGCATATCTTAGAATCAATCGCAAGGGAAAATGAGCCTTATCCAATGGGGTCAGAGCTCACCTTCCCTTGCAGCCCTACGGTGTATTGGCAGACTTCTCATATCTTAGAATCAATCGCAAGGGAAAATGAGCCTTATCCAATGGCGTCAGAGCTCACCTTCCCTTGCAGCCCTACGGTGTATTGGCAGACTTCGTATATCTTAGAATCAATCGCAAGGGAAAATGAGCCTTATCCAATGGCGTCAGAGCTCACCTTCCCTTGCAGCCCTACGGTGTATTGGCAGACTTCGCATATCTTAGAATCAATCGCAAGGGAAAATGAGCCTTACCTAATGGCGTCAGAGCTCACCTTCCCTTGCAGCCCTACAGTGTATTGGCAGACTTCACATAATTTCGAATTAATCGTAAGGGAAAAGGAGTCTTATTATAGGGCGTCAGAGCTCACCTTCCCTTGCAGCCCTACGGTGTATTGGCAGACTTCGCATATCTTAGAATCAATCGCAAGGGAAAATGAGCCTTATCCAATGGCGTCAGAGCTCACCTTCCCCTGCACGGGCTCGCCCGCGTGCGCGCGGCAGGTGCGCGTCGCGTCGCGCACGTCCGCCACGAAGCGCTCCGCCACGCCCGGCTGCGTGTGCGCGTGCGTCACGCAAATGTGCACCCTGAGGGCATATGAATAGAGGTCAAAATTCCATGCTGCGATAGCGGAACCGTCGTCTTCCTGCGCTAATCCCACGTAGGTGCGGTCGGCAACGTGCGAATCATGCTGTGAGCGGTTTCGGCTGACTTTTACCACGGGCTTCCGCGCGACGTGAAATCTCTTTGGGAAACAAAAACACAGATCCAGCGTGGGAATTGATCGCATAAGAAAAACATACACGACTTATTAAACGCAGATCTTCTATTTAGGGTGACCTTTAATGATTAACGGCACTTATGATTCATATATACGAATAAACTTCGAAATATATTTATTTATATTTACATTCTTATACTAGCGGACCCGACAGACAAATCTAATTGTGAACCTAAACCATTTTCGAATCGACCTGAAGACACACAAAAAAAATTTTTAAAATAGATCCCACCCCACTTCCAGCCGAGAGGCCATAAGTTGTTCTGTGACATATATAAAGATACTTAGTGCAAGCTCGGTCCACTGTATTTGAAGTTCGACCCCCCCCAATTTCGACTCAACGTGGCAATTTCATAATCTAACAGCTTGCACCACCCTTACGTACAATAATCACCATCCCAAACTTCATACTTTGTAGGGCAAGAAGCAATTAGACACATATACGCTCGGTAAACAGTGACTGTTTTAAAAATGACCATGAGCTCGATCGCTCGCAATTATTGCATTGGAATATAAAAAATAAGAAGTATCAAAAACACAAAATCAAGCAATAATACGTTCTGTGCCGTAGGCGCTGAGTTCGAATTCATATGACACCGAATATAAACATCACTCGGTACTTATCAAAATTGATATGAATTTTCAATAATAAATAATCATTCATCTTAATCGACAGTCGCAGCGCTGTAATTATAAGGCAGCGAAAACTTATTAATAAACATCCAAATTGATCTTTATTACGCTAGACGTAGAGTCGAAATTCCTACGGCGTCTAACTCAAGCGTCACGGTAACAAAACTCACCCGGACGGGAACTGCAGGGCGTTCAGGGCCCAGCCCTTTTTATGGAGCAGTTCCGCCAGCTTGAATATGTCGAAGAGGCGCGAGCCGAAAGCCACCACGGTGGTGGAAGGTTTCCCGAACACGAACAGGCCCTCGATCTTGCGCAGCCTGCGGGGAAACCACCGAGATATAGTCCCGTCCCTTGATCACGTCATGTTTCTTTAGCATTTTCTAACCCCCCCTCCCCCTTGGTGATACGTGGGGAGGTTTAAGACTATCCCCCCCACCCCCCGCCCCTACCCAAAACCACGTGTAAATATTATCTTTAAATAATATAATAGTTTTTTTTCTGAAATTAAGGACCATGATGAAAATATAACGGCGGGTCAGTCGCGCCGATTTTCAGTTTAGAGATTGCTCGTTTGACGAAAAAAGAAATACACGTGGTAGCTTACTACACCCCTCCTCCCCCTTGTGATATTTTTGCCAAACCCCCCCCCCCCCCCCTTTCGAGCCTCAAGTGATTAATGGACGGCCCACTTCCTTTTTTACGTAGGAAAATGAAAATGGCAAGCACGCGGTTCACCTGATGTTAAGCGATAACCACCGACCCGTTGCACCCGTAGGGTTGCAGATGCGTTGCCACCTTATTATAAAGTCGGCCCCGGCTACCTCACTGACCAGACGAAACGCAGAAGTAAAACAGCATCTTGACGCCGGTCTTCTGTGAGGTCGCGGTACACCCCATTTCTTTAGCAAGAGTTGTCGTGGCATATGGCAATGACGGACAGGTGGTGGAATGTTAAAAGTTGGCAATCAATCTGGCGGTTCACCTGATGTTAAGCGATTGCCAATGGACGACTACACTGAGGCAGGTTGCAGATGCGTTGCCAACCTTTGAAAAGTGGGCCCCGGCTACCGCAATCACCGGACGAGACGCAAAAGTTATACTTTCTAGTATTAACGCCATTATCAGTTTGTCCTGTCACGAATTAGGTACACTACGCAGTAGGACAGCGTACGCTAGCTATCTTTGTCCATCGCATTAGGGATTAGGGACGAGAGAGAGGGACGGCGTACGCACTCGCTCTCAATGTATCTGGCGGTGGTGACGATCTCGTCGGTCATGTGCACGTAGCGCGCTTTGCCGACGAACATCATGGTGGCCCAGCAGGCCGCGATTAGACCGCCCGCCCTGCTGCCTGCAAAGGAAAATACGCCATATTGCCAAATGTACAGGGTCTGTGTTAAGCGTCAGAATGCAATCGTAAAGCTGTTTTGACTGCAACGGGTCGAGAGGTTGGAACACCTTGTCGTAGACAATTCTTTAAAGTCCTTTCATAACTTTATGGCACTTTATATTATTGGAACTTATTAAAAGCCAATAAAAATGCTCCGTGCTAAAATTTTGAAATCATAGACGAAATTGAACATGATTAAGAAATTCTGAAGGACAAGTATGAAAATTACAAATGTAAACAATTTGATTTTTTTTCCTATTTTCGGAACTAAAATGAAGTGGATAAAAACGACCACCAACCCCTGTTCTATAACATTCACTCTCATTGAGACAGGGTGTGGAGAAATAGAGAGGAATGGAGAATGAGAGATGTGTGGAGAATTGGAGAAGAGTGGAGAATTAGAGCTGTGTGGAGAATTAGAGGGGAGTGGAGAGTGATAGGTGTGTGGAGAATTGGAGGGGGGTGGAGAATTAGAGGGGAGTCGGGTTGGAAATGTTTACTTACCGTTGACGGTGGGAGAGCCGTAGACGCCGCCCGGCCACTCGGTGGTGACGGTGTACTGGCAGTGGCGATACTCCTCGCGACGGTAGAGGATCACCGAGGTGCCTTTCGGAGCGTAGCCGTACTGCACACAAAAGTAAAGTAATTTTTATTATTTTTTCATTTGTGGTAGGACCATGAAACAGTGTTCTCTGTTGCCCGAATGGGCAGGTCCTCTGTACAGAGGGTATGGTGAGGGGTCCATAGTAGGCATAGTCCACCACGCGAGCCCACTGCGGATTGGCGGACTTGACATATCTTCGAAAAAAAAATTTTTTTCATCACCACCGTGTTTTGAACGGCAGTTGCTCAGCAGGTTGAACAGTGAGCGCCCGGACAATGAGCTATCATGGCTCCTTAGCTACACACAAGTATGAAGAATTATTTTGTCCAGGTCTGGTTGCGTCATCAGCAGGGCTTCAACGGTGGGGAAAGCACTAACTCAGTACAAGTCCTTTCACTTATTGCGAGACAATCGGTAAGGAAAAGTTGATAGGTCCGAAGGCGACCCGCATTAAGATTTTCTTTTCTCTATGAAAAAACCAAAAGAAAATGTTTTACCGTGGAAGGATCACGTTAGAGCTTCTGCTGTTGCAGGAGTGTTCGGGCGGCGGTAATCACTCAACATCGAGTTAACCGCTCGCCTGCCTATTTTTCACAAAAAAAAAACGTAAGTGTGTACGTTAACAAAAGAAAAATAACTAAAAGCTCAATCCAGTGCGCCAGTGTTCTTTGATTGTGAAAAAAGTATGCGACAACTGACTAATTAAATAACTTGAAATTATAGGTAAATGTCGATAAGTAATGTATCTCCATGGCAACACCGTAACATCGGTGTCGATTGAAGGCGTCGTGCGTCGTAAAATGCACTCTGCATCACTGATTCCAAACGCGACAAAAGCGTAAGTTCAAAAAAAGAAGTGTAACTTTAAAAAGCGAAGTGTAACTTCAGGAAGCGAAGTGTAACTTCAACGAGCGAAGTGTAACTTCAGAAAGCGAAGTGTAACTTCAAAAAGCGAAGTGTAAGTACAAAAAGGGCCAACCTTGTGCGTGTCTGCGGATATGCTCGCGACACCGGGCAGCCGGAAGTCGAAGTCGGCTATCGGGTGTCCCGCTTCCGGCATGAAGGCGCCCACGAAGCCTCCCAGGCAGGCGTCCACGTGCAACGGCACGTCGTACTCCAGCGCTAGGGCGGACAGCGCCGCGATGTCGTCCATTGTGCCGTACGGATAGTTGGGCGCCGAGCCCACGATCTGCGGACATTTCGCTTTTTATATTTATTTATTTTGGATTACCGATATAAACAACATGTACACAGAGTTAAATAAACACAAAATTTACGGCAACGATGAACGCGTAATCTCAATTATAGGTAGTCACAGCATTCAACAAGAGTATTTGTCGTACTCATGGTATAATATATATAATCTATATACAGCATGTCGTTACAACCAAAAAAATATAAAACGTAAAAAAATCCATTGTTATTATATAAAATTGTTTGTTTTGGAAAATTTAACAACTCGGTAAATATTGAGGTTTAGAGAATGTTAATGTTTAATACAATTTTAAAAAGTTATCCTCTTTATGTGTGTTCATTTATCGTCGCGGTTGTAAAGACACGCTGTATAATTATGTCCCACTTCTGGACAAGTCTCCTCTGTAAGGACGATATTACGGCATAGTTCACCACGCAGCACAACAGCGAATTGGCGGACTTCACATAAGTAATTATTTCGAAAATATGCATGTTTCCTCAAGATGTTTTCCTTCACCGCTGACCACGTGACAAATCAGCACTTAAAACTAACAACTTCATTGATGCCGGCACCGGGTATCGAACTCAGGTTGCTCGAGCATATTCAATTAAAAGCGAGCACCCGGAAAATGAGCTATACGGCTATTACAAAAGGCAAATGTTAAACAAGTAAAGAAAACGACTAGACTAGGTCACTGACCAGGCAAGTTCTGCGGCCTATCGCCGCTTCCACCTTGTCCACGTCCACCGTGAGGGTGTCCGGATCGACGGGAACAGTGACCACCGAGATGCCTAGGTACTGAGCAGCCTTGTCGAAAGCCGAGTGCACGGTCGACGGCACCACCATCTGGGGGCTGCTGATGCCCTTACTGTAGGCAAGGTCGCGGAACGCTTTGCAGGCCATTATTATCGACTCGGTACCGCCGGTCGTCACCTGGAGGGAGGGGAAATGCTAGTATTTAATGTCCGAGTCATATGCTAGTATTTAATGTGGTCGCCAAGTGCAGACAGAGTCAACTGCCCCCTCCACCCACCCCTAGACATCGATGACTCCGCAGCGCAGTTGCCACGGTATTGGCTTCGGGGTCATGGGCAGTGGGTTCGATTCTCACAAAGAACAACTATTTGTGCGACCCACAGACAGTTGTTTCGCATCTGGGTGTTTATCCGCGTGAAATTTGTTTGTAAAACGTTATTACAATAGAAAAGGACAATGTTTTCAAAAGGAAGACTATTAGAAATATAGTGATAATCTCTGCACTTGAGGTTAACAATTAAAATTAGTAGAAAAAAGTACGAAAAGTTTTTCGCCGATGTGGGAATCGAACCCACGTCTACGGGTCGCGCCCAGACGCTTTAACCACTAAGCTAAGTGGCTGATTGCCACACCGACAAAACTCTCAACATCTTTTATCCACATTGTTTATTTCTCATCTCCCTTTTCAGCGTGTTTACAATGAAAATCAATGTCGTGACACCAAATGTAACGAACGAAAGAATTTTCTAGACGAATTCAGTCTCGCAACAAACAACTCGTTTGAGAAACGAGATGTTCAATTAGCGTGCGATATGGAGCGCGACCTTGGCGCTGTAATTATTACTTTATTAGTTTACATTCCGATGACGTAGTAGCGAAAATTACTTGAAACTGAGTAAAGAGACAAACATCGAGTTCTCGAGTAAAATGCACCCTAACCTGTAGCACTTAAGATTGCTTCTGGGAAAACAGTTTTGATTAACAACAATGGATGAGAAATAACTGTTGCTATTGAAAATACAATTTGATAAGCCGCTTAGAAGCTTAATTTATCATTTAGGTATATTTTCCAATCCAAATCTGGATGTGGTTGCTTAAAAGCTGACTAGATTCTAATAATCGTAGTTTCGTTTCGAGACGGTATACTTCCCAAACTAAAATATAAAACCCTTAAAGAACATGTAATGACGTAACGCGTTACAAGCGACATACATACATACCTATATATAAAAAAATGAAAAGGGCACGAGGATATTGTAAAATATTTTCACAATATTTAATTTTAAAGTTATGATAATTTTAGTATTTTTCTCTACATCACTACCATCATCGATGATGATAATGATGATGCTCACTTCAAGTCCACTGACCATAGGCGTAAAACGTACATACAACACAGTAAAATGCCATCTTACAGGTAAGGGGGCAATGTTTTCGAAGGCCTCAATAGAATCTTCTAGATCGCAGTGGTCATTGGGACTTACTACCCAACCCCTTCCACACGAAAACGGAACCCTCGACTCAACTGCTCACCGCTCCTCAACCTCACCGTTCATCAACCTCACCGCTCGTCAACCTAAACTGCTCACCGCTTACCGTTCCGCAGCAGCCGTCGTCGCCGTGGAACAGGTTGACCGCCATCCTGACCACCTCCGCCTCCATCTTGTTCACGCCGGGGAATATGTCCGCGTGCAGCGGGTTAGTGTACGCCGCGAGCGAGTAAGCGTCGCACGCCACCTTGGCTATCTCCTCGCTCACGTGGTACACCGCGCCAGACACGCTGCCGGCTCTCCAGTCGTAGGAGCCTGCCGAACCCAGAAACCCAAGCCCCTTTACAAAGGGCCGTGATAGCTGTGGTACGGCCACGCAACAGTATTCGCTGCTGAACTAATGGACAGGTCCGTCCGAAGTACGACCTCACAAAAGACCTTTATGGGTGGTTGCAAAGCATCTGTACCCGTACAGTTATCGCAAATGTCTATGGGCGGCGGTTTTCGCTTAACATCAGGTGAACCACCAGCTCGCTTGCCATACATGTCTTCATACATGCTGACTTATCAAGTGCTCGTCGGTGAAGTTATCCTTAGGAAACCTGAACCTTCGTTGGACGTCTATATGTTATTGTTAGCTCAGCTTTAAAAACTGCTGGTATCCCGGTTTGAATGCGTAAAATAGTTTAATTTAGTAATACAAGAAATTATATGATAAAATGAAATATTTTGAATTTTATATGAATATAATTTCGCAGACATGTAAATTCTGAAAATCTGCGATGTGTTCGCGTGCTTTACTATGCTCTAATATCATCGGTACAGAGCGGCCTTTGACCAGCAGTGGGACGTAGATAGGCTGTTACTTTACTAATGAGTCCCTCTAATATGCGAAAAGGTGAGTCAACCCATGGGTCCGATAGCTCTGACCTTTAAAAATTCGGACCCTCTCAGACATAATGCAAAATTATTAATATCACACATTGAACTGGTTCCCAAATTAAGTTCACAATAGAAGACATTTCTTTTAAAAGACAATTTTTGGTCTGTGATATGGCTAATTAGTTTCCATTTTAATTTGCAATTTTTATTTACGGCTATTTTAATAACAGAACATAATTCAAACCGCAAAAAACGAAACAACAGTTGAAATATTTTTCAGTTGATGTTATGTTGTCATTTCGTGACATTATTACACGTTATTTTGCCCCAAAATAAGCAAACCTTGTACTATGAGCACTAGATTACTGATAAACATACTTAAACATACTTTTCTTTTTAAGTAAATACACATTATAGATATATAAACACCCAGACACTAGAAAACACTATGTTCATCACACAACATTTTTCCGAACCCACACCCTTTGACGCAGGAGGCAGTTACACTACTCACTACGCCAATGGGTGATGAACATAATGTTTTTGTGATTGTGTGATGAACATATGTGTATATGTTTAAGTATGTTTATCAGTTATCTAGTACCCACAGCACAAGCGTTGCTTAGTTTGGGACTAGAGAGCGTTGTGTAAAGACGTGTCCTTAAATTTAAAATAGTAATAATTAATCAATTCACTTAACCCACCAAGCGTGAGATGATCCTTTATCTCCTCAGTGATCTGATCCGCCGGCAAGCCGGTCTGTGGCAACTCCCGTCTCACAGTCACACCGGCCAGGCGCTTAGCGACGTCCTTTCTGAAGTCCTTCTTTATCTCGGCCATTTTCTCCTCAATCTTACGCCTCACCATCGGCACTTGGCGTAGCCATCTGAAGAACTCCTTTCTGAACCTCGTCGTAACACCTGTGACGTTGGAGTGACAAACTCTTCTTAAAATTTTTAGAAATAATTGCGAAAACTCTTTCGCCGCTGTGGGAATCGAAGCCACGTCCTCGGGATTCGTGCCCTGACGCTTTAGCCACCTAAACGGCCGATTGCCACACGGATGAAAGTCTCAAAGTCGTTTGTCTACATTGTTTTTTTAGCATTTGAAGCAACGCTTGTGACGCATCCATTGTTATGACTTTTACAGCATACAAACAATTTCGAATATCGTTTTACAACGATAATATCGAATCTTACGTCTGAGCAAAATTGTTGGTACTTACTGAATACTGTTAAATATTTACACTAAACAATTCAAATATTTATTTAATTAGCGCAAATATGAGACCTTAAGGAAAATTACTATACTTAGGTATTTAATCGTTTCATTTTATTTATAACCGCTAGCGTTACGAACACAACGGCGTCCGTGGTCAGAATGAATTTCAAAGTTAAAATTAAGCACAATAAAATCCATATAATCCTTACTAATATTATAAAGGCGAAAGTTTATATGTATGGATGGATGTTTGTTACTCGTTCACGCAAATACTACTAAATGGATTTTAACGAAACTTTACAATAATATAGCTTATACATCAGAATTAGAGATAGGCTATAATTTATACACATATTTTATGTATATCTGTCTTTCTGTCTGAATGTTATGTATTCAGCCTATTCTACGCAGACGTAGTCGCGGGCAGCAGCTAGTATCTGATAATACTGACTTTTATTTATTTTTCGGATCGTCTGGGGTGATGGGGCTTATCATCCTCATACCTTATTTCACGTAAGTCGGCGTAACACGTAGGGTGCGTTGGCACATTCAAAGTGGGCCCCCGATAACTCACTCACCAGACGAAACGGAGGAACATAACACTTCCACTTCATGGGCGGTCTTCTGTTAAGGCGTTCTTCCTTGGACGAGCCTGCCCATTCGTGCAACAGATAGATGTTTTTCCCAACATCAACCCACATTGGGAAGCAAACTCCCGGATTTGGAACAATTATCTGTTGACCACAAAAACACTTGTCCCGTGTGGGAATCGAACCCACGACGCTTAGCAACTATGCCATCGACAAAGTGGTACAATCTACAATTCATTTAGTTATACAAAGTAATGCATATTTAATTGTTTTCAACTCACTTTCCCTTCCATTGTAAAGGCTGTGTGCCCAAACCAATGCGAGCACGGATGTCGCCGTCATAGTGACAATCTGCCATGGCTCTTTTCCCTCAAAGAACCTGTTGATAGCCTTTAATGGTTGCGGGCGCTCACTCATGGCTGCAAAAGTGGAAAGACAACTACTAGCAGCTGCACGTTACCGTGGTAATGTTGATTATGATAATCATAGATGAGCGTATATTGATGCTGTATAATTTTTTAGTACAAAAGTCCTGTCCAACCAGGGCATACAGATAGAAAATATTTTCCAAATTTAATTGCAGGTATGACCGGTGTGGGAATACAATAACATTGTCTTTAAAAACTTTGTCTACCTATTTACCTCTGAAACTCTATAAAATATGAGTTATAGAGTTAACATGAGCCAATAAATTGAAAATTCACAGTAATATGAACAAAAGCAAATAAACAATGAAAACTGTTTGCACTGTCCACAGATAAGCTTGTTATGCCAATACCATAAAAAGAGCCAAAGGCCAACACCTACCCTACATGGTTCTCTTTGGTTATGTTGATACAAACAAGATCTTTGTTTCGATAGTCATCTTTAAAGATTGTCTTATAAAGAAAATGCATACACATAATTAAAATGGTAGTGTCTATGTTAGTATGATTATGTAACAAGAGCTTTATTTTTAATGTTCAAATTACTATTTGCGTATTACCAAGATACAAATACGCATTTTTAAAGTTTTTGTATGCCCGTCAGTTTATTTGACTATCCAATTTAATATTCAAAGGGACTGAAGCATTTCTGATAAGAATTTTATGGAGTGATAAAAACTTTTGAGAGTATATTTATTTTCAATTGTCGCTGGTGAAATTAATTCAATTTACTAGACTAATGAGCACAATTACTAGAACATTTCTTGTAATTGTAGATTTAAAACAATTTTATTAGTATGTTTACTGCTAAATGCTACAGAAACTAAATTGACATGGCATACATATAATAATTGATGCAGTGATATATCTGATACAGTGAAGACAGGAATTAACCTCTGCAGTTTCAAGCGAGCAAATTATGTTAGTAAATACTTTTTTATTGTAAGGAAAGGAATTTCTACCACAAATAGTTCAAATAGGGATAGCAGACTTATGAATTTTATAATCATAAAACCGTCATTTCTTTTTTTAAAGATTGACCTGCTGCTACAATTTCATGGCTCATACTTGTTTTATCTTTATCACTACGTAGTATAAAACAAAGCTGTCCCGCTATCTATCTGTCCCTATGTATGCTTAGATCTTTAAAACTATGCAACGGATCTTGATGTGGTTTTCTTTATTAGATAGAGTAATTCAAGAGGAAGGTTTATATGTATAATGCATTGCACCCATGCGAAGCCAGGACAGGTTGCTAGTTACTAATATTTTTAACCTTTTTCTTTATTTCATACTTCCACTGCCAAAGAAAAAATAGTAATGCAGTGAGTTCAAGCATTACTTCTATAAAACCTTTCAAAAGTCACCATGTCTTTCTTACTTACTCCCAAAAACAAATAGAAAATATGAAATGTAAAAAAATAAGGTTTGTTAAGACATTATCTTACTAAGACTCACAAACCTTTGGGAAGATAAGGATTAAGATATAGATATGGGATTTATTTAAAAAATCTATATTTCATAATTTATAATAACTGTAGAAAACATATAATAAAACCTGGTACAATTTTTTTGTTTTTAAATTAAATTATACACTGAAAATGAAAAGCAGTTGTTATTTAAAGCCTCCATATAATTCCCGATAGTAAACAGTAATTTTGTATTAAATATATATATATATATATATATATATATATATATATATATATATATATATAAACATACATAGACATAATAAAAGGGCAGAAGAGAATAAATCTTAGTAACAAAGTTACAACTTCTAATTTTAATGTGATCTCTATTTATCAAAAAACTTTTTCAAAACTCTTAAGACAATAAAACATAAATTTGAGCCATGTTAATTATTAATAATAAATAATGGAAATCTAAATCTAATCTATGTAAACTGTGCTAAATGCACACTATATATTATTTGTACACCACAGTTCAATTAGTCAATTTAGAAAAACCATGTCAATTGATAATTGACCTCAAGTATCTGGGTGAACTAGATTTACCTTGCTTTACACACATTGTTTGTATTCTAAAATACTGTTGTTCTTTGTACTATTTATTACTTAAGGTGATGCAAAGGAAACTTTATTTTGTCCTTCCAAAGAACTAAGATTAGCCAAAGAAATTAAAATCCTATTTAATATCTAAGTATAATCATTCAATATTCATTAAAAAAATTTTTCAAAATTTTCTTTTAAATGTTCAGATGTAAGGGACAAACCAAATATAAAATAATACTTGGATATTATTATTAATTTCATTTTGTGCTACATCTTTTTTTTTTATTTATTCTTTATTGAAAACACCTCAAAAAGGATTGCAAAGCCCGGACATAATGCCAATTGGCATTCTTATTTGTTGAGTGCTAATTAAAAAAAACAAAATAGGTATATATTTTAATTAACATGAAGTTGATTATAAAGTGAAGTGCATTATAAAGATAATATGATGCAATCTAAATGCGGTGAAGATAATAAGATTAATTAAATGGGATCTACTTACCTAAATTCATATATTTCCCAGGATATGAAGAAATATTAATCAAATGTTTTACGCTCAATCAATTAAGTTGTTATCATGATAAGCAGATAAAATATGTAGTTTAGACGCACACTCTTGTTTTGTAACACTACATTCAATTACAATTAGTATAATAAGTGAAGTGCTTACAATTACAATGTTTTTAAACAAAGGTCAGCATGAGATATAACCAGTATATATGTCTTATCTATGGATATAACAATGTTAAGTGATATTACTCATTCATTCGGTTTTCCTATTGACAGCTTTATTTATATTTGCTACTATCACGTTCACGTACATAGTTTGACAGCAGGACAAACAGTGTTACCAATGGTTACCAATTTTCGATATTTGTCCCTTAAGTTTAAGTTGTCCCTAAATCCCCATAATAATTATGCCAATACCTATGGAACTGCCGTTCTTCAGTACCGGCCATTTCAAACAAAAAAAAAAGTTTCGATTGGACATGAATTCTAAATTCAAATTAATTTTGTTTGAAAACATGAGTCTTTTTACAAATTCAGTCTTTTGTTTATTGATATTGGTATACCACTACATTTGAAAATTTTTCGTCATATTGGCTACTTTATAAATCCGTGTAATTATGGAATATGAGTTCCGTCGTGGCATCAACGTGGCACTAACGGCACGTAATGGGGGTAATACATAAATAGGGTGGCTTTTCTAAAGATGCCCAAATTCACACAGGAGGTTGAAACTCGGTTTATAAATCGTTTATTGAAATAAAAACAAACTATTTTTTTTTTCAAAAAAATTGCCATTCATTCCCTAAAAAACAGAACTTGTTGACAATGCGTCGTATACTTTTGAAACGAACTTGTCTGCGTGTTATATAAGAATGATCGCGCGTAAAATAAATGAGTTATCCATAAATCACGCACTTTTTGAGATAAGTTAAAATGAATGTATTTAATTACATTATTTATGTCTAGAATTTAATAAAAAAATGGATACACTTAGAAAAGCCTCCCTGTATACAGGGTACATAATATGGGGAAATACATGACTAAGGAGTACTTCATAGATAAGACATATATACTGAAATTGACTGGGGTAACTAAATGCTTTGTACAACGACAAAACGACATACAATGCAATAGAACAGAAACGTGGGTGATAACGCGTATAGATATCACCCTATTTTTAAATATCTACGCTGTATGTAAATATGTATTTGAACTATACTTTGTAAATATAAAAATTATAAGTAAATTATTATTTTTTATTATCTTTTACAATTCATTTATAAATCAATACATCCATAATAAAATAAATTATTTTAATAAAATGATTAGGTGAACTGTGGTAACACAAATCTTAATTGTAACCAATAACAACAAAAAGTAACAAAATACGAAGCCAGGATTGGACAAAATTATTCATCAGAATACTGTGTATTCAGCGCCTGCGCCGTACCCAGAATGAGTCACCATCCGCCAGTTTCATGTATTCCAAACACAGGCAAAATGTCGAAGGCTAAAAAAGTAATTGAAGAAGCGAAAGAAATAAACAATCCTGAAATTGACTTGGTGGATAAAGGAATTTCCAGTCTAGATGAAATACCAGGATTGTGTAAGTTTGTGGTAGTTGTTTTTTCCTTTTACGGTTCTTTTGTAAAAACAAGTTTACAAGCAAAGTTCGAGAGCATCTTATTTATTTTAGGTATTTCTTCTGCTTAAAGTTGTAATCCCGATCTTTAATAAAATTATGACATTATCGAATTATATATTAATGTATCACTATATGTTTAATATAGATATTTAAATAAACAATATAAAAATAAACATGACCTAATGTTTACATTAATTTCACATCTGTTTGTGTTTTATTATTTTTAATTAACCAAAATTCTTCTTTTGTGGTACTATATATTTATAATTCTTTAGTGAAGCAAAATCCATTTTCATTTAAAAATTTTAACAGATTTTCCTTCAAATATTTTAGAATAATATTTCCTTGGGTGTGGTTAACATTTTGTTTTTGTCTGTTACAGTCAGTTTGGCCAATATTACAAGGTTATCATTGAGTCACAATAAGATTCAAGTGGTACCAGCAGCTCTTGCAAATCTTATGAACTTGGAGATTTTAAATTTTGCAAATAATCATATAGAAGAACTGCCTGTTAGTTTATCTTCCCTGCCTAAGCTTCGCATCTTGAATGTATCTCTTAACCGTCTGTATGCATTGCCTAGAGGTTTTGGTGCCTTTCCTGTACTTGAAATTCTGGACTTGACATACAATAATTTGAATGAAAAAACATTACCTGGAAACTTCTTTATGATGGGTAAGCATTTTTTGATATTGTTATATTTTTTGCCGTAAATGTTTCCTTATAAAAATTGTGAGTTTCTTCAAATACATAATTTAAATTCTTAAATTGGTATGCAGTAAGAGGCACTGTTGTAATTAAAAATAATGTCAATTGTTTTAGTGTATATTTAGTACTACTATAGATCCTCATTGATACAGGTATTTGGCTGTAATACTATACATACCATATATTAATTTTTCTTATACCATTTAAAATAGTTTTCCCGACAATGCAGTGCCATGTGAATCTATGTAACCTGTGAAACATGGTAATTTAAAGTGCAGTTAAATCATCAAAATTATTAAAAATAATTGTTATTTAATCCCATGTAAACATCCTAATTAATTTATAAAAGCTAAAGGTACAAGGGTCAAGGACACAGGTTTTATATATATTTCAAAGATATGTGAAGTCCGCCAATCTGCAGTGGGGCGTGGAAGACTATGCCCTGATACCCTCTGTATAGAGGAGGCCTTTACCCAGCAGTGGGACATGTATAGGCTGTTACTTTAAATATTTTTAAACAATAAAAAAAACATACTTATTAAATAAGTTATAAAGCCCTAATCTAAGGAAACAGCCAGATTTTGAGAAAAAAAAATGTTTTGAAATTTTACATTGCATAAATTTGCTATTATGATAAAATAATGAAAATGATTAATTAACAAACTACACCAGGGGTTAGTAACCTGTGACTCACGAACCACTTGCGCCTCTTTAGATGTGTAGTTGCAGCTTTTTAGTTCCATATGCAAATATTAGTCATTTCATTTTAAAAAAAAATATTGTTCTGAAATACACTATAGATAAGTACTACGACCTCACAGAAGACCGGCGTAAAGTGTAAGTATAATACTTTCGCGTTTCGTCTGGTGAGGTGGCCGGAGCCCAATTTTTCAAAAGGTTGTCAACACATCTGGGACCCTCGGGTGTAGCAGATGTCCATGGACGGCGGAATTCACTTAACATCAGGTGAACCGTCGGCTCGCGTGGCAACTTTTCACATAAAAAAAAAATTGCAAGAGATATTAATTTATGTATTATTTTATGGAAAAAATATGGGATATAAAAAAAATGTTACTTCAGTATTAAATTTGACTTCCATACTTTGATTATATACTTACTATGTCGCCCTTGAGTTCAGGATCTCCGACACAAGCTTTTGGCTACTCCTGAATGATGAATAATGGTATTAAATTTGATTAAGCAAAGTAGTACCACTAGAAGTAATTCCTTCCTATTATTTTAGTGGAACTTTTTTTAAAACTAAAGTATCAGCTATATAAGAAGTTTTTTCAAAGATTTTCTATTATTAACAAAAACCTACATTTTATATTCACAGAGAGCCTGCGAGCTTTGTATTTGGGTGACAATGACTTTGAATACCTCCCACCAGAAATTGGTAATTTGAAGAATTTGCAGATTGTAAGTATGATGATGATATTTAGTTATTGTAAAAATAATATTGTATTTTTTAAAAACACCAATAACACATTTAAAAATAATTATAGAAAAGCTCATGTATTGAAATTTGGAATGTCTTAAAAAAATTGTACTTGTTATGCCATAGCATGCGGTAGCACTTATTATTTCAAATGTTTCTTATATTTGTTTTAATTTATTTACATTTTTTTATTGCAGCTGTCAATGAGGGAAAATGATTTGATAGAGGTACCACGGGAATTGGGTCAATTATCTCGTCTTAGAGAACTCCATTTGCAAGGAAACCGTCTTGTTGTTCTACCACCAGAGATCGGTCAGTTTTTGTTGGTCATTAACATATTAGCTTATTTATACTTTAAAAGAAAGAAAGTTATCTAAACATATCATTTGTTATGAATAAAATTTCAGGTTCCCTAGACTTGGCGAGCAACAAATCTGTACTGAGAATTGAAGGCAACTTCTGGGTGCCTCCAATAGAAGATCAACTGAAGTTGGGCCCATCACATGTGTTGGACTATCTACGCTCAGAAACCTATAGAGTGTAAGTACATACATACATAATTATCTGCCACATTAAAAGTCTGTAAATTCTTTTAAACTATGAATTACAATTTTCACAAAAAAAAAACGCAAGATCAACAAAACAGCTGATAAATGGAAGCTATAAATTTTTAGTACTTACATTACCCTTTACGGTTTTCTGCATAAATTAACAAGTAAATTTATTTATTTCTTGCACTTCCTCATTTATTCCTGAAGTTAAGTGCCGTTACCATTGTACCAATACCATATTGCTATGTCATAACTTACATTGTCTTTATTAAACTAATATTCGCACGATGGTTGATTCAGTTAAATAAAAACCAGTGTAGTTATTAAAATTTAAGGCAGATCCATAGTTCGAAAGCCCAAAATGATTTCCGAGTGCCCAAAGGTAATATAGCACGTTTTTATCTCCAGATTGTACAGCCGTCACATGTCCGCCAAGCCGCCACCGCCCCCGCAAACCCTCGACAAGAGCAAGAAGGCCAGTCGAGCGAGATCTTAATTCGCATTTAACAGACCTGTGTGCCATAAATGTTAATGTTTGATGTGTTATTCAGTGAACGCTTTTCTCATACTTTGCACTAACTTATTATTAATTGGTTGTATTTTAATTTACAACATTTAATTTAGTATTTTCCAAATAAGAGAAATTATATTAATAACATTGTTTTGACATTCTTGAGATTGAAAAAGAAGAAATGATGTTTTTTTATTTTTTTGACAGTTATAATTTAGATGTTTAAAATGTTTCTTTATATATGAATACAGTTTAATGTGTGTGTTGTGTATAATATATATATATATATATATATATATATATATATATATATATAGAAAGAAACAATTAATCAAAGTTTTCAAAGTTGAGTTGTCAAGATAATTTCTAATGTAATTCTCGAATCACAACCAGATACTAGTTCTTTACTCCTAAAACTATAGTCAATTATAGGATATCATTGTAAGCTGGATATGTATCATAGTTCAATGAAACTATTCATGAAATGAGATTGCCAGCAAATCAATCTTGCTACGATTTCCAATTCAAGTGATCAACTATTATTGATTATTGTCCCCTTACAAATAGAAAACAAAAATAATCATAATTTTAATCTGTTATATGCGCCATAAAACGCTTAATATCAAATTAATATATAACATACAATCAAATCTTTCCTCTTTATAATATAAATATAACAAGTCTGTATTGTTGTGCATAGTTATACTTTTTTATACCTTTTCCGCAATAAAAAATTCAAATGAGAGTATTTAATAACTTACTAAACCAGTTCAGGTAGAAATCTTTAATTTAATAAACAAAAATTATTAACTAAATTACACACAACCTAGTATATTTAACAATGACAATATATCAATCATGTAGTGCATATATTTACTTGGCGTAACAAAACTACAAGGTGCTAATTGTTTAAACATTGTAGAAAATTTTATTGCAAATGCATGAAAATAAATCATTATTAATTACTCGTATTTTTCTTTCATGAAATTTTTATTAGAAAAAAACTCCGGCGATACATATCCTACAAGAATCTTCTGATTTATGTTGCTTTACATTGGCAATTTAAACCTTACCTGAAGTTCTCAATGTTCTAAATATCATTGATTTTAATAATTCTATAACTGTTATCTGTTTTAACACTAGCCCATATTTTTTTCTTCAGGTATAGAAAATATTTGTTGTGTACAATATTAAAATATGTTTAAAAAATCTGCGTGAATTCCGGAAAATGTAATCCAAAACATTAAATTAACTTAATTTATTAGGCAGTGACAGCAGCACTCTCATACACTCCTATTCTTATTAAGAGTGAAATATAATTCCATTTGGGAAGCACCAAAACCTTTGTTCCAACCTCGACATTTATTTTATACTTGAACATCCACTTCTTCAGCTATATCATATACAGGTGTCTGATGCCTGTCACAACTCCACCACAATACACACACATACCAGGAACAATCACCAAAAGCATCATCGGAGATGGAGGTCATTAACCTTTACCATCACATGGTATTAATATACCATAATCTCGCTTAAAAAATTCCAAGCAGCTCTCTATCTATCAGCTTGCTCAGTAGTATTCAGGGTCCTCTTCATCCGTGGAGTCGTCTTCGGAGATGTCCAAGTTATTTCTGGTCGAGTTGGCGACTGGTTTGCTCCTCTCCATAGAAAAAGCATATGACTCATAGTCTAGTACTTCTTCGTCACTTAGATGAGAGTTTCCTTCGACGAAGCTCGCGAACCTATAAGGACATATTTTTTGTATATAAATACACTTAATTATTATGATCTTTAAAGAAAAAAAAACATCTTTAAATTTTAGTGAGCAGGTACACTATCTATGAGCATACTTTAACATTATTCCTGATAAATGTAATGTACGTGTTATATCATTGAATTTACTTGTGATTAAATTGAACAGACACAAACCTATTCCTTAGTTATCAATTTACAAAATCTTAAGGATAAGAGTCTTCCCGGTGCCAGTAGAAATTCTCAAAATAGTAACTGGTAACAATTTTAAACTTTTTAAATTTTAATTTTAAACTTTTTTTCCTTTGACATCTGTTCCTTTTGCTAAAGAAATGACAACATAGAGTATACAGTACAGTAGTCTCCTTTATTTTTTTGTTGACAAGGTCGAGCGCGTTCGTTGGAAACACCGCGGCTGTCTTTTATTTTAGGGAGTCAACAGATACTGCTACAATAATAGCTATTAAATAAATCCTTGTATTGTCACAAGGCTATCTCATGCAGAGTTATAATACCTTGGCTGGTTTAGCTATGTTTTATAATAATTAACAGTGTTTGAGAATCATCAATGTTCATTAACAGTGGTAGGGGCACGCAACAACTTTGGCTGTTGCACGAATGAGCAGGCTCGTCCGGGTGAGTACCACGACCTCACTAAAACTGTTTCTCTAAAAGAGAAGAATTTACAACATACAGCAGTTCCATCGTTCAATTATTGTCGACTGGCGGATTAGGGATGTCGAAAGCGAAGAAAAATATCGATATATGTAAAAATATCAATATCGGCTTCGATATTCGATATATCGATATTTCTTCGACATCCCTATGGCGCATTCGTTGGACACAAACACCACCGCTGACCTCTTCGCGTCGCTGATGCGGAGCATGACCCTCCACTGTGCGCAGTCGGGGCTGCTGCAGTAGCGGCGCAGCTCGTCCAGCGCGCGCTTCGTCTCGCGGGCGCCCTGCTCGTAGTACTCGGCGCTGCTCAGCAGCCGGGGCTTCGGCGGGAAGCGGCGCCGCCTTTTCGGGCGCAGGGGCATGATGAACGAGAGAGAGAGGGAGACGATTAGCAAGAGAGAGAGAGAGGGAGACGATAAACAATGAGAGAGACGCTTAACAAGAGAGGACGACTCCGTCGCGCAGTAGCCAAAGTAGTGGCTTCGGCGCCGGGAGTATTCCCAAACGATACGACTATTTGTATGACGCACGATTAACAAGTGGTTACGTAATAAGAGAGATGATGGCTGCGTCGCGCAATTGCCAAGGTATCGGCTTCGGCGACGGGGGTATTTCTATACGAGACAGCTATTTGTGTGATGCACGATTAATAACAATGAGAGGGAGACTATTAACAAGCAGTTATATAACAAGAGAGAGGTTGACTCCGTCGCGCAGTTGCCAAAGTAACGGCTTCGGCGCCAGGGCCGAGGGTGGATTCCCACACGAGACAACTATTTATGTGATGCACAGTCAATTGTTTCCGAGCTGGGCGTTTCTCAACGTGAAATTTACGTTTGTAAAACGTCCTTACAACACATGATAATGTTATCCTACAGTAAGGGGGCCTTATTTGCGAAAGGAAGACCACCATAGACCGTCTAGGTCGCAGTGGTAGTTAGGACTTACTACTCAACGACATCCACACAAATCATCATCATCACCGAGAAGAGAGAGGGAGAGAAACGTACAGTTAATGATCTAGGTAACTAAATCGCAAACAACAGCACAGCTAAAACAATCCCAAACATTGTATATATTATACGAAATGAAAATAAGAAAGTTGCTACAGAATTTACATTACAACAGTACCATTAAATATAATTATCAAATTTTATTTCTATTAATAGCATACTATTAACATCAGAGGTCAAATTCAAATAAATTACCTGGGCCTAATCTGTAATATACACCTAAACTATAATACTCCTCATAGCCTTAATAGGACATTAGATACTATAACTACAAGATCATATAAAGGACTGTAATGCCTGAATGAACAGCTAACTAAGCATACTACTAACCAATATCCTTGTAATCTGTATACCAAGCTCTGCGGGAAGTATTTGACACACATTGCAGTAATCGCAACGGCCGCGGACGCTTCCTGGTACTGGCTGCTGAAGAACACCATCAGCACTCCGACAACCTGCACAAAAATGGAGTAACGTCAAGAGAAACCTACAAGTAAAACATACACACACACAAAACATGTTGGTGCATATGAAAGGTCAGATTTTCTTTAAATATAAACATCTGTCTTGCTTTGGACAAAACTTCAATTGTAGTCGTACTGTCCATTGCAATTAATGTATTTATTAAATAGCTTGAGAAATAGCCTAAAACATAGGTTATTATTTTTTATTAATATGTATTTGGTATTGTTATTAGTAATTTGTATTTGGGTGTAGCTTTACTAACATGTATACAAAGCCATGATAGCTCAGTTGTCCGGGTGCTCGCCTTTAATTCAATATACTCTAGCAACCTGAGTTCAATCCCCGGTGCAGGCACCAATGAAATTTTTAATTTCAAGTGCTGAATTATATAACAGCGGTGAAGGAAAACATTGTGACGAAACCTGCATATTTTCGAAATAATAATAAAAATAAAATATTTCGAAGATATGTGAAGTCCACCAATCCGCAGTGGGCTGCGTGGTGGACTATGCCCCCATACCCTCTGTACAGAGGAGGCCTTTGCCCAGCAGTGGGACATGTATAGGCTAATACTTTACTTTTTATAAAAATAAATAAATTTTTAAATACATATTCCAGTTACTAAAGTTATTAATAATCAAATAGCATACAGAAAGAAAGAAAGAAAGTGTTACCTGGAGTGTCCACATCACAAGGTTTTTACTCCTCTCGTTCTTAGGTGGTCCAATTCTGTAGCACACCACAAAACTCACAAAGCTGACACTAAGGGTGTACCAAAAGATGTAAGTCTGGTATGAAACCACAATGCTTCGTATGTTCTCCCAAATCTGTTGCAGCATGTATACTCCAACTGTCCAGCCTCCAATCAATATGCCATATGTTAAAGTTTTCTGAAATAAATAGAAATACTTTACATCCTATTGATCTCCATTCTTGAACAATGAATATTTAATTACATAAATTTATTTATAGTTCTTCCTTGTAAAAAACAAATGTATATTCCCAAAAAAATACCATCAAGATATGCACTAATAAAATCACTTACGCAAAACAAAGCAATTTGACTAGTTACAGGAAAAAGGTTAAATGGGAAAGCACGGAAGCTCGGTGGTCCTAACCACTGTGCTTTCAGAGGCATGTTTAGTGATAGCACAAACAGGAATCATGTGTCAGTAAGTGGCGTCCCTAAAGTTGTTAATACACGAGAAGTGTACTGCCAAACCCAAAGAGGCTAGATGTTTTATTACATAAAATTTATAAGAAAAAACATTTACACCTACCCTAGGTAGCAATTTGCTGACATAATATACCAGTAGCATAAAAGAAGCTGAAACTCCAACAAGTATGCCACAGAGGTAGAAAAATAATGGGTTCCCACTTAATGTTTTAGATGAGAATATTAATACTATGCCCAAAGTCATAAGTAACACTCGCCAAATGTCCACTCCTGGAAACAGAAAAATGTGTGTCATTTAAAATAAATAAATATAAAATCTTTGATGCAAAATGTTGCATTTTAAATTTTTATAGTGCCAATATCTCAGCACCTATTTTGCAAATATTAAAATTTGTAGAAAAAAGGATGAAAAGCTTTTCGCCACTGCGAGCATCAAGCTGATGCTTTCCAGATTCACACCCAGATGTTTTAACCACTAAGCATTGCTTAAAATGTGACAATAAAATCTAATAAGCACTTAATAAAAATGTCTAATAACAAATACACTTACTAAAAAATCAATCAATACAAACACTCACTTTGAATAAGCAGCTCAATACTGTGACGGTGCTGTGTGTTGATGGCCATGCAAGTTGGGCCGAAGAGGTCAATGGAGACACTCTTATATGACTTTCTCTGAAATGGGTTAACAACAGCCCAGCCATAGCTGTTCTCAGTATAGTCCTTGTAAACTTCCTCTGGATTTGGACCAATATATTGGCTAAACTCGTCATTCTTGACTTTTATGTTGAACTGTTTACAACAGAAAATGAAAGAGAACCAAATCAGAAAGGTGCTATTTCCCTGACAACCTTCATATCATATAATATCAGTTTCAAAGCACATAACCAACATAAAGATAAATAATTGTCTGCTGGACTACTATCTAACCCATAATTCACATGCAATATAAATGTTGGAATCAAACACATATATTTCAAACTAATAAGTTATTATTTGAATAACTTTGACTTGAATTTAAAGAAGAATAGGTTTTGTCACAGCTACTGTACTTATTGATTTATTATTAAAAAACTCACCTTGACTGTTTGCCATAATGCGAATAGATTTTTCGAATTTCCACTGTAGCAATATATGTCAACTGTTTGTTTTGTGGGATAAATGTCCCGTTCTATAGTTGTGGGACCACCCAACCAATGCACTATATGAGAAATAAAAAAATTATTACTTTAAAGAATATAATAGGCCGAATTTACAAGGTTCAAACTCTACGTAATCTGGGCGAATTAAAAGGTTACTAAAAAAGTAAACATCTATATCAGTCAGTACCTTGAATATTTGCGATATAAAAAGCCACCTTATTTATTTTAAATTTTAATATATCTTATTTATTATTATTGAAGACATGCATTAAGTATACACAAGTATAACTTACCATCATAGGGCAATGCCTTAGCGACATTAATAAAAGTAAATAATAATAAAACACTTCGGTAAAACATTTTGTCACGTTTACATTTCCCTATATTAAAACTTAAATATAATAAAATTTTAACTTAATAAGATCACTGAAGAAAAGTATAACACATACAATAACTTTAAAAATAGAGTGCTAAACGTTATTTGTTTATCTTTACATCATAATTCGTTCGTAACGCAAAGCCAAAATAAAAATAGAGAAATTGACCATAGATAAGACAGAAACAGATAGGCATGGACAAAAAATATCGATATATAAAATTATCGATATTTTTCCAAATAAATATCGATATATATCGTCGATATTTTTATTCTCGATATATCGATATTCGATATTTATTTTCGACTGGGGAATTCGTGTCAATTTCGATATATTTTTTTACGCAACACTGGTTTGGTGTATAGTGTTATTAAATGCGTACACGATAACACTTTTGTTTTAATAAAGATTTTTAATTATAGCCTGGTAATAAGATCTTCAATCAAGAGATCAAATGTGCGGGAAGTCGATGGATGCAGGTGGCTCAGGATCGTACTTCATGGCAGTCTATGGGGGAGGCCTATGTTCAGCAGTGGACTCAAACAGGCTGAAATGATGATGATGATGAACAAGATCTTTAAGCCTATACCATGAAAACGTATATGATCCTGAAGTTAACAAACAATTAACAATTTTCGAATATTTTTTTTCACCAAATCAAAAAAGTTATGAACAAAAAAGAAAAAATTGCACATGTAGAAATTTAAAAACTCTAAGTACAATTTTTCATATAATTTATCGTTGGAAAAAGTTTAAAATATTATTAGTCGTCGGCTAACTTCAGTATCATGAGAAGTTGATTAACTAGTAAAATTCTTCAAACTTCAACAATTGAATACGCGATAATTATGTCAGTTTGCATGGTTTCATTAAACGCTGCGACGTTCAATGAGTCCAAATAGTCTGACTGATTAATATTTTTCAATATTTTGCAATTACTCTATTAAACACCTTAAAAAGAAGTGACGTTCAATAAACATCTGAAAAGGGCTGTGAATCTGATTGTATCCAACAATACAAGCCGTTTGACAGGGGAGCACATTAAACAGAGGGTGCTCCTAATGGCCATATCAGATGATTATTGGTTCGAATAAATTTCTTACAAATTACTTTTACTTTTTAAATTTTTAATTACTTTTTTCTTAATAAATTATTTTCTTCTTCATGTCTATTTCTTTCCACGAATTTTGATTGGTTTGGAAATATAAATCATAATATTTTTTTATTCACTTGATAATTATCGATAGTTTTTAAAAATGTCGATACGATAAATATCGATATATTTTTTTTACTTGCCCATCCCTAGAAACAGACATTGAAATGAAGTCTATAGTGATGTGGTATTTGGCAATAGACTATAATCCATTATATTCTATTACATGCTCTTTGCTGTAATCTTTGGTACTGATGTCCCAGCATGATCAATCTTCTCCAACAGAAGATTGATCATGCTGGGACAGCTTTGGTGTCTAAGCGACTAAAATGCATTATGCCAATGGGTACAAAGTCGATTGCCTAGACATTCTGCTAATTACCGGCCCAGACAAGTGTGGTATGCAGTTTTCTTCTTGGAAATTCCAAAGGTTTAGACCAGTGATTCTCAAACTTTTTTTGTTGCGGCACATATTTAACGATTTCAAAATTTGGTGGCACACAAAGAAAAACATAAAAATTATTTACTTACTACAACACACTGCATAAATAGTTTATGACAAAATTTGAAATATACGAAATAAACTAATATATACTACAATAATAACTAAACGTTTATTAAGGGATTAATTACAAGCTAATAATAAAAATATTTTTAATGCGAAATTTAAGCTTGATGTCTTTTGATAATTTCATTTACATTTGGTAGTAAAAATGACAATGCTACTCATATCGTCTTCTACATTTAACAATCTTGATCTTTTTTTTTAGTTTTAATGTTGGCTAATGCCTAAAATATTTTTTCTTTTTAAATGATATAATTTAATAATATTAACATTATTATATATTTGCAAAATTTGGCGGCACACTTTTGAAATTTGGCGGCACACAAAAGTACCGCGGCACAGTGGTTGAGAATCACTGGTTTAGACCTTTGGAGTCTCAATACTCTTTTTTTTTATGCGATAAATTGCCAAACGAGCAGACGGGTCACTTGATGTTAAGTGAATACCGCCGCCCATGGACATCTGCCACTCCTGAAGGTTACTAAGGAAAATTGGGCTCCGGCTACCTCAGTCACCAGACGAAACGCGAAATTATTTGTCATACTTCCATTTTACGCTGGTCTTCTGTGAGGTCGTGGTACTTACCCGGACGGGCCTGCCCATTCGTGCAACAGCCGAGGCTGCTGCGTGGCCCTACCACCGTACCGTCTTTGCCCAGCCATCTTAATTACCTATGTAATGATTTTTTCCTTTTATGAGATTACTGTGTAGTTTCTACTGTGGTAGGGCTAAGAGAGCCTTCGCCGTTACACAAAAAAGGTAGGTCCGTTGGGAAAGTACAAGCTCACAGAAGACCGGCGCAAACTGGAAGTGTGTCTACTGTCTTCTGCGTTTTCAGCAGGTGAATGATGTGACCGAGCCCACTTAAAAAGGTGGCAACGCATCTACTACTCTATGGGTATTGCAAATGTCCGCGGGCGGCGGTTTTCACTTAACATCAGGTGAACCGTCAGCTTACTTGCCATCTTCTTACTTAAAAAATACCCTAAACACAAAGGCTAGTGTTCGAAACGTTAATTAAATTGCTAAAGACATTATTGTTAAATTCGTTTATTATTCAAGTAGTTTTATTTAGGTATTTAATATGTTAATACTAATAGTTTTCAGGTGCGGAATTTAGAAATAAAGGAAAAACCAAAAATCTGAAATGCATTTAATCTTATATTTATTCAGTAAAGGAGATTAGATATCACTTATAATTCATTTAATGCAACCAGCATTCGACGTGTATAAGAGCGACGGTAACAAGGACAATAGGAAAAATCACTGAAACAACAAATTAATTTAATCTTATATTTATTTGGTAAAGCATAACACAAACAATGGTCATGTACTAAAGGCATTATCAAATCACTCCTAAGTCTGTACCTTACATTGTACTCACATATCATCTATATTCTTATATATTATTTACTAAAAAACAAGGCGAAAATCGAATTGTAAAGGAATGTGTTATAAATACTGTGAAATAGAAAATACTGCAACATTTTGAATACTGAAAGTTATAAGTTAAGATGAAGACAAATCCTTAGTCTGCTGGTTTAGGAATGTTTAAAATTATTTCATCTCTTTTTCACTACAATTTACCTAAGGCCTCGCAAACATCACAGTAAAATTTTACACCAAATAAGAATTAATTTAAAACTAACCGTGTATACATAATTATGTATATAAAACTATGTAAAATGTATATATATCTTTTGATTTTAATATTTTTTTCTCTCCAAAACCCTATTAAACTACATTCTTCTCAGGTGATGGTTTAAATATAAATTATCTGTATAAAACTACATTGTGTACTCTTTATATGATCACATAAATCGTTAATTTGTCTGTGGTGAAATATCATTGGATACAATAAAAATTGCACTAATACACACCTACGGACCTATGAAGGCACATTTGAAAGCACTAATATTTAATATACCATATACTAGATAAGAAGAGTTAATATTCTTTTAAGAATAATTAACTCTAAACAAATTATACTTCCATTCTGCTAAGATGGCTGGGTTCTGAAAAAAAAACAAATATTTAAAAATATTAAGAAATATTATGCTATTCAATATATCTTTCCCAATTCTGACTCACACTGATCCCATCTATCTTAATATGTATGCATATGTTTATAAATAAATCATTTATATAAAAGAGCAGGCACTATTAACAAATTATCGCCTGATATAGTACAGTACTTAATCATAATAAGGCATACTTTACAACAAAGCTCATCTATCAACTTTCCACTGCCATAATATTATGATTAAAAATTAATTATAAACTTTATTATGAAAGCTGGAAAAGGTCAGAAACATCGGGAATTTAAAAATCTAATTAAACGCGATAAAATCTGTTATAAAGTTTCATTTAACAATATGTAATATTCGCGTGAAAACAAGACATCCATAAAGTAAGGGTCTTTAGGGGTGGTTTTCGAAATTATTTTTAAGGGGACAAAACGTGGAGAGAAAAGTCTACAGTCGATGGAATGGGAAGTTGATAGATGCATGGATATTTTTGATTCTATATTTTTGATTCTATATAACATCGATATTTTCATCCGATATATGATGTTGATCTATAATTTACTAGCGACCCGCCGCGGCTTCGTACGGGTGGAATGTATAATATATAAAACTTCCTCTCGAATCACTCGTCGTTTTAAAGATCTAGGCATACGTATACAGAAAGACGACTTTGCTTTACACTATGTAGTGATAGTGATCGCAAGTGTTGGTGGCAGCGGCCGGCAACGCATTTGAGAGCCCTCGGGTGTTGCAGCCGTTCATGGGCGGCGGTGATCACTTACCGTCAGGTGAGCCTCCTGCTCGTTTGTCCCTTTCCGCCATTAAAAAAGGTGCGGGGCGCGTACCTGTCCAGGGCGCGGTAGGGCGGGCCCGCGTGGCGCGCCCACTCGCGCTCGAACTCGTGCTCGAGGATCTCGGCGCCGCGCTTGCGCGTCAGCCCCGTCTCCTCGAGGCTCAGCTCGCACATCTGCATGTCGTCCACGCCTGGAAGGACGTTGGGTACGTTGGGTACGTTGGGTGTGACGCTTGCTTTACCGCAAGTGTTCGAGCAAAGCCTAGCAGCTCTCGGGTTCCGGGTCGAGTATCAAAGTAATTCGAGTGTGCTTCGGCTACGTGTGACATTTTTAAACAATACGAAGTATGTAAGCGTACATGTATGTTTGCTTTCGGTGGTTTGTCAGAACGTTATGATGAATAGATTTTTTTCTAATGCCTGGGTGTTATATATATTTATTTATATAACATTGTATTTATTTACTAAACAAAAGCACGTTTGAGTGTTTTTATCAGTTACTTAGTATCCGTGGTACAAGATTTGCTTTGCGTGGCGTGCGTGTGCGTGTGTGCGTGTAGTGTCCGTGCGTGCGTGTGCGTGAGTGCGTGCGCGCTCGTTACCCGCTTGCAGCAGCACGGGCGTCTTGTCCGGGTGCAGCTCCATCTGGCGCGCGACGTAGCGGCCGTCGAAGTGCGCGTACCACCAGCCGCGCCGCTCGCCGCCGCCCGGCCGCACGAACGGGATGCGGAAGTAGCGGTGCCGCGCGCCCAGCACCTCGCGCGCCTCGCGCCCCACCACGCGCGGCGCCCTGGCTGCTGGTGTGGGGTTCGATTACAGCACTTACAGTGCGGTCTTCCCTTCGAAAGCATTGCCCCCTGCACGCGAAAACATTTCGCGCGGACAAACGCCCAGATTGAACAGCGCCCCACAACGCGCGGCGGCCTGGCTGCTGGGTGCGGTTCTTATATTGTGCGGAAGGGGCTGACTAGGTGTCTAGTGTGGTCTTCCCTTTGAAACATTGCCCCCTTTACACGAAAAGATTTCGCGCGGTCAAACACACAAATAGATGTCTCGCTCGTGTGGGATTCGTACCCACAAAACGCCCGGCTTCGGAGACAATGCCTTGTCAATCGCGCCACTGTGTCATCTACGTGGACGTGTACATAGAAATCGGACATCTAAAATTGTAGCGTAAAAATGTGACGCTTGAGCCTTGGAGCCACTGACTTCTTACGTGAACGTTATCAGTAATTGTATTATCATATAGCAGGGATTGGGGCAAACCCCATAATTCGAACGAGTTCTCCCTTAGAATGGCCAGTGGACATATGCCTTCAAAATAATCCACACCGCGGTAGCGGACTTTGTGGGCGAATTTATTTAGACATTTACAACGGACACGCCATTTATAAAAACAGGCCCCGCTAACCTAAGCCAACGGACAAAATGCAAGTGTAACGCTCAACTTTACGCTGGTCTTCCAAAATCCGTGGTATTCCCCGGACAAGCGTGCCCATTTATGCAACAAACATTATGAAATCTCTCAAGTATCGAACCTATCAGAAACTGAGAAGCCTCCAGGATCCAATTAACATTAGAACGTACTGGAAGATGTCCGTCTCTTTTGAGAGGCGAGCAGAATATACCTTTAATATAATTTCACAGATAGGAGGAATAAGAAAAACATCAATATATCGCAATATAATGTCGACACGCATTCATATGGTGCTTCGGCTTTTGACACAGTAATTTGATAATTAAATGTTTTAACCGCGTACGAAGATTGTAGTTTCATTTTTAAATCAATGTTAAACCTTATCCACCCACAATAATAGAAAGCACACGATAAACGGTTGTTCATAAATCATAAATCAGAAGTCGATTATCGTTTCGATGAGAACTGGACACGAACCTGCGTCCATGACGGACTGCGGCGCCCTCTCCTGCTCGGCCATCGTGGTCTTGCGCGCGTTCTTCGCCTTCCACGCGTGGTACACCTTCAGCCGGCGGTGGAACTCGTGCCGGCAGGCCTGGTTGGTTGAATTCGATACGTCGCACTGATGCTACATGAGTCTAACGCCCGGTTTCTGAAGCATTAACCATCGTAGATGTCAACTGGTCAGCTGTCAAGTGGCTTTTCAAATTTCATTTGAGTTGAAAAAACGATGGTTGAACTATTTGAATTGATCATTTTGATCATTAAGATATCCTGAAACTGTTTTTTACGGATTTATCGCGTTCTTTTTTTAATTCTAAGTCCCGACGTTTCGATCTCTTTACAGCGTTCATGGTCACGGGACAGACAAGTTTATAATGTGTAATCGCGTAAATACAAGAAATTATTATGATCATTCTGGTCAAGTCAGAGAGTTCAACCATCCCTTTCTCAACTAATCAGCTAACAAAGCCGTTTGACAGCTGATTAGTTGACATCTACGATGATCAGTGTTTCAGAAACCGGGCGTCAGTCTGTGTAGCGTATGATATGATATTAACTATTGCACGGATAGTACAGCAGTTTGAACGGCCAATTCCAACTGCTTTTAAGCGCCGCGTTGTGCATTCGATATCGAAATCTGCAGCGATCCAAGAATGGGTGTCCAGAATCCTGAGCGTGGATGTTTTAGCGTTTGGCTTCAGAGTATTTTTTTTATATTTCCGCGAAATGGGTCTTTCCTAAGAGCGGGAATAGTTTTCAAAAGAAACTAACCGTACAAAATACTAAAAATACCACATTACAGCACACTTCTGCTAGAGCTTCCTCTACGCTGAAGACTCATCCCTTTGGCAGCAAAATGTTGCTTATATCAATAGATCAAGTAGAAGTCAAACTCGTGGGAACAGCCTCGTGAGCATTGCCCATGTAGGCTACGGACTGAAAGCACTAACGTCACCGATAGTAAAAACCGTTGTATGCTTACGGCAGTAGAGGGAAAGAGAAAGAAGACAATGAACAAGAGAAGGGAAGGAAGGGTGAGCGAGACGGGCATATCTCACCTCGAGCAGCTCGATGTCGCACGAGGTGTTAATCGTGTCCCTCAGCTCGGAATACTTCCACTTGGACAGGTCGTACTTCTGTTTGCCCGCCATCGCCTGTTGCATCCGCACGCGCTCCGACCTGAAACGCGCCCCGTTTCAACGTCGACCTTAGCGCAACGCGTTAGGGTCGAGTTTCGCTTGTTGCGAATTGTGTCGTTAACGCACACGCTTCCATACGGACGTATCATTTTTTTTTGTATTTATCGAATACTACGCACTGCGAAGAAAAGTTTTTATTGTTTTTTTAGCGGATTATATAGAGTTTAAATTGTTACGGAGTTTTCGAAGTGTCGTCCACTTTGCGGTAATATTGGCCACGGGACAAACAGAGTTGCTGTACAGTACTGGGCGATAATCACTTCGACATTGGAAAGAGACGGTCGGATAGTTTCGGCTTCGCAGAGCTCCATGTGTGTGACAAAGATAGCGCTATACGAAACCGAAATTAAATCGATCTCTTTTTAATGTCGATGTGCAATAATTATCACCGCGAACTATAATTCCTTATGTAATAGTTAACCCAGTCTGATTTTTTTAATTACAAAATATTAACCGATAGACGGTAAGAGCTTGTATTTGTTTTGAAGCATTGCAGTGTTATTCGATAGAATCCGTAAATAGCTATATTTACAAACGCCGTTATACGCTAAATGTGTACTGGTGAAAATATATTTTGTAATTAATTATGGGATACATCACATAGCTTTATGGCGTCCGATTGAATCCTGTATCTGACCTCACATCTGTTACTTAAAAACACAAGCAGCGAGATATAGAATGAAATCGCAAAAATTAACAGTCTACATACAAGATATTAAGCAAATGATAACATAGCAGTTGTTTCTACAAGATCAAATAATTGTGTGCGATGCATACATGAAATTGAAAGAAATGTGTGGGACGAATTTGCATGCAATTTGGTGTTTAAACACACATAAAACTGTCATTAACAATGTATTAAAGACATTTTCGAGATCATAACAGACGTGTTCAATTTTTGCGTTCAAATTTTTAGTTAATTGTTTTTAAAAATAAAGTTAATAAAACCAGTAAAAATAATTATTACTTTAGTGAATGGTATTAATTATTAAACGTGACAAATACAGACTAAATATTAATAACTACATAACCACGTGCAGAAGGATGAAGAAAAAAGTATATTATAGAGAAGCGAAAGCCTCAAAGAGTTAGCAGAATTAGTTTGTTAGAAACAATTGTCCTCTTTCAACTGAAGTATTGAAACTGCATGATTGGAATAAGTAAATATAAAATATGTACCATAGCCGATACAGACAAAATGTTATACATTTATTACATCACAGATTTCTGTGATATGATAAATCAAAGTTATCTTATAACAGTTTGACAAAATTCAACAAAATTGACGAAAAAAAATTATTATTTAGGTATCGTATCGTTTCGTTAATAAACCGACATCAGTTACAAAGAGGACATCACTACGAAGGCGGCGAAAGGGGCGTCTTTTGTACCTGTTTAACTTATTCTCGCCGTTCACTGAGTCCATTGTGGGGAAACTGTGCAAACATATCACAATATTACTTAGGGATGTCGACAGTCACTTAAAATATCGATGTATCGATATTTATAAATACATCAATATCGATCACGATACATAGAAGAAAAAATATCGATATATCAGATGTAATCCTAAAACCTATATCCAAAAAAACAAGGCCTGCAATGTAGGAAATACTTGATTCGAATTTGAAAAAAAAAGATCATTTTTGATACGATTTTGTGTATTGAACATTTTGTATATCGTATATCGGATCCAAATATATGGGCTGAAAATATCGAATCAAAAAAATATTGATATATCGATACTTTTTCGACATCCCTAATATTATTTTGGGCAGACGAAAGCTATGCACAGAGCGGGCTTCTTCGAGGCATCTCTTTAACACGGAGACATCAAGTATAAGTAAAGTCTATACAAGTCCCGATATTGGCCAAAGACCTCCTCTGTATAGAGAGTATTAGGGTATAGTCTACCACGCAACCCCACTGCGGATTGGCGGACTTCACGATATTCGAAATATTTATTTCGTTATCATTTCGAAAAAATGCAGGTTTCCTCACGATGTTTTCCACCACCGCTAAGCGCGTGATAATTCAGCACTTAAAAATGACAATTTCATTTTAGCCGCATCTGGATTTGAACTCTCGAAGAAAATTGAGCGCCCGGCCACTGAGCTACCACGGCTCTCAACGGGACATTCCCCTCCCACTTTTAGTGACAAGAGATCTCTCGTGCAATTTTCAACTACACAAGATATCGTCTCGTTCAACGTTTACGTTGGGAACAGCTATGTGCAAGGATAATTTAGAAAGCTTTTGACATGTGTTTTTTACATGTGCCGCCAATTGTACCTTTATGTAATTGTTTGTTACTTTTGTAATTTTGTCTGGTGTACAATAAAGCGTATTTCAGTCATTCATTCATTTATGTGTCGATTGCTTGTTTATGATCAGATCTAACAATAAGGGATATTCATATCATCGTGTGTATCAAATAGTCGACAACTTTAGGAATAGGTTGGCGGTTATCCGTTGGTACCTAACTTCTGAAATATCTCCAAACTGAAACTTAACATGAGATGACGTTACTTTACTAAGTTACGTTAACAAGAACAGTATTAATGTACGTGTATAAATTTGACACTGGCATACATTTCTATATAAAAGATTCTTCTTTTATAACTGTCTTTTTATGGATGATATAATATTTTTATGACAAGTAAATAATAAAAATTAACTTAGAATATATCACCCAATTAAAATTTTTCATTTAATTGCAGACATTCATATCAATTCACTGCATATAGGTTTATGGCAGCAAGCGACATATAGTTTCGACGTATACCTTTTGACAAACAATCGTAACCAGTCGTAGAAGAAAATAATCGTTATGATACAAAGTTTTCAACTATCCACTGAACACTCAAATTATAGTCATCGATAGTAACCGAGATATCCATTAAGTCTTTAACGAGCATTAATCTCATTCCAAGTTCGGTCTTGAAACATTTTTACTCAAACCAGTTGGAACGGTTCATTTCGTTTACATTAAGCCGCTAATTGTGACCTTTGACTGCGAGTGTATGACTCGTCTTGTATGAAACGTGTATGATTTGCGAAATGCCTCAGTGCCTACCTTCGCAGCTGAGGGGGAGAGCCCTCGACGTGACCGTTCGTCTCTTCGGCCAACCTCATCGCCATCTCGTGGTCCCTTCTCTCCTGTTCGAGCCTGTCCGATGAAAAAAGCGAGTGTTATAAAGTATGAACTCAATTAAAGTGTTAAGAGTTTTGATTTGAAAATAATGTGCTTATTGTTGAGCCCTAAAAAGACATTGCTTGTAGAAAAAGAGAGGCCTCTAAATAGAGACAACTGTCTAATTTAAATAATAGCCTCCAATCTCTATTCTAATTTAAGCCCTTAATAGATTCGTATAGCAAAGGTGAGATCTCTTTATAGAGACAACCCTTATTGTACAAAATATAGTTTATGACATTCACAATTTGTACAGTTTTTATAGCTCAGCCAAAAGGAGTAAATTTTCTAACTTGAAGAGACAACCCTGATTGAAGGAGGGTTGTTCGCTGGGCGAAAAGGAGCCATATCCCGTGCGATGTTTTAGTAACAACCTCTAAAGAACATCCAAATTAGAGAGACAGCCCTAATCAAGGAAAGGCCTAGCAAAAAGGAGCATTCTTCCTGGAGCTGTTAATAAGAGCTTCCGACTCGGAGAGACAGCCCTGTTTAGGAAGGTAGTTCGTTAAGCAAAAAGGAGCCTTGTCACGGGAGTTGTTAATAAGAGCCTCCGACTCGGAGAGACAGCCCTGTTTAGGAAGGGTGTTCGTTGAGCAAAAAGGAGCCTTGTCCCTCGGAGAGACAGCCCTACCGAGCAATGGCGTGCTGAGCGAAAACGAGCGCTATCGCGGGGGCGCAGGGCTCACCTCTCCCTGCTGTCGCGGTCGGCGACGGCGGCCTCGTCCAGGCGGCGCTGCAGCAGCGCGGCCGCGGCCTGCTCCTCGCGCTCCAGCCGCGCGCGCTCCGCCTCCTCCGCCTTGCGGCGCGCCTCCATCTCCGCCTTCCTGCTCGCGCACCGCCGGTTAGAGGGAGACGGAGTTATTAAACTTTGTTACGACGATGTTGTTAACACGATTTCACAGTACAGTGGCGTCTGCCGTTGCACAAAACAGCAGACTTGTATGAGCCCTGTGACGAGAACGGCGTAAGGTGCGAGTATTGCGGTAAACGTCCAGAGTCAGTGTTAATCACTTATCGTAGTCGTACTTTATTTCAGTATTGCTCGAAATTGGATTCGATTTAGCATTGCAATAAAAGTTGTTGGTAAGACGTAAAGATTTTCCACCAGCGACGATATCGATCACTGAGCTTAGTGATTAAAAAGCCTTGCCGTATTACTCACAAGACACATGTGAGTCACGTCATGGCAGCGGCGAAAAATTTTGCAACAGTTTTAACTTCACATTTTTGGAGTACTTCAATTTTTTAATATACGGAAAGTATCATTCTCCAATGAGCATGGGAAAATTGCCTCACTCTGTTTCCACCAATGGCGCTACTTTTTTTATCAAAGTCTAAACTGTTAAATCAACGTCTAAAATGTTAAAGTCTACTATTAACAAAGGTGGTAACGCATCTACAGCCTACGCGTGATATCACTTAGAATCTGGCGAACCGCCAGCTCGTTTGCCACTTTCTCACATAAAAAAAAGAAAAGGAGGTAAGTATACTGACAGCCTGCGATGCTCCTCCTCCTGGCGCAGCCTCTCTTGCTCTTTGCGCTTGGCTTCCTCCGCGGCTCTCATCTCCGCCTCGATCTTGCGCAGCCTCTCTTGCTCCTCTCTGAAATGCGAAAGTTGCACGATTATATCACATACACTGCAAAAAAGACATCACAGAACGTGTAGTTCTTAAAGAATCTTTGTTTCTTGTACTTTACGCCGTTTGGTTCAGGAGCCGATGACTTACTATAGGCAATTTGAAAAAAAAAGAAAAAAAATTGATTATCGATGTCGGTGAACCAACAATCGAGTGGAAGAGGTTTTGCTTATTTCATTGCTGCTCATCCTGAGGCAATTGCAAAAATTTAACAAAAAAACATCCGTTGGCAATCTGAAATCGTTCCACCTTTATTTATTTTAGAAATCCAGCCTGTTTTTACTATGCCCTGACCTGGCTATCAAATTATCTTTCAAAAACTTACCGCTCGGAAATTTTACTCCGGGAAAATGAATCTATTTCATTTGGGATTCACACAAATAATAACCATCGAAAACGCGGGCTGAAACCAGTATGTTGACGAGGTTTTAACCTGTTCTTTTTGTCGGTCATCGCCTTCTGTAAGGTTGCCATCTGCGTTTCAGCTTCCTTAGTCAGCTTGGTGTACAGCTCGTCTATTTCCGAACGCGTTATATTCTCGTTGCTCTGAAAAGTAAATGCACAACTGGTTTTAAATGAATGCCTAATTGTACCTGAAATGCGTTTCTTTGATATTATTTTAGGGTTGGACGGATATTTTTAAAATCAGAACATTGATAAATAATATGTTGACAAGCATAAAATTCTATAATATGTCTCCACGTATTTTTAAGATTGCCTACACAAAGGGTAAAACAGGAAACTATTACTAAGACTGTCTGTCTGTCTGTCCGTCTGTTGCCAGGGTGTATGTCATGAAGAAAAAAGGTGGTCGCGGCCGCTCACCTTGATCAGGGCGCAGGCGTTGCCGATGGAGTTCCTCAGGTTCTCGATGTTCCTCCTGGCCGAGTCCCTCCCCTGGTCGAGCTGCGCGGTGACGGCCTCCATCTGGGCGAGGTTCCCCTGCAGCGCCCTGATCTTGGCCACGCCCCTGTAGCGCGGCCGGTGGCGGCGCCGCGCCAGGTGGCCGCGCACGCTGCTCTGCACCAGGACCAGGCACTCGCGCCGGTACAGGATCTTGTTCTTCACTGGAATGAGGCGATAGGCGTGTGAGGGAGACGGACCGATATCTGGTACTATCCAAAGGATTATTGCCACGGCCTAGCAGAAGACGCTTTATTATAAGGTGGCAACGCATATGCAACGGTTGTTGCAAATGTCTACATCCGCTAGCTTGGCGCCTTCTTACGTATAAAAAAAAGGATAGACTACTCACACTTGACCAGGGAGAGCACGGCGAAGATGGAGCGGCGCCAGCGCGACTTGACGAGCCAGGCCAGCACCGAGTCCACGATGGCCTTGAGGTCCTCCGGCTCGGAGCGCATCATGGTGTCGAACTCCGAGTACTTGCCCGGCCGGAAGAAGACGCGCGTCAGCCCGAACTTGTAGTCCTTGTCCGACAGGCCCAGGCTGTGCACCATCGCCTGTTGGGTTGGAATCGGTTACAAGTGGCGGCACGAAACGCTGGCGCTGGCCGTTATTGCGCAGAAGACAAAAGTGACGAATCTTTGGCTTCGAGGCTAGAGGGATAGTCGCATTCCAATGGTTAAAGATATGAATAGTAGAAACGCGTTTCATTGAAGAGGCCCTACATCGAACGGTTGTTTTACTTTCATCATCATTTTAGTCTGCTGTGTTCATTGCTTAACATAGGCCTCCTTCACAATGTACGATCCTGAGCCACCTGCACCCATTGACTTCCCGCACACTTGCACAGGTAGTTCCTTAATCTGATGAATGATGGATGCAGATGGTTAAGGATTGTGCTTCGTGGCCACCTGGGGGGAAGACTTACCTTATGTCCAGCAGTAGAGTAAAACAAATTAATGATGATAACTCTATAACAGTTTTTAATAAAGAATTCCCACAGTAATATAATATCCCTGTCTTTGATGAGTTTTTCACAAGAGGCGAAAGGGGCAGAAGCGTGCGCACCTCGCAGAAGAGGCGCGGCGAGAGGCGGCTGAGCTGCAGCGGCAGGTGCGGCGCGTAGAGCGCGTGCAGGTCGCGGCAGGGCGCGCGCGAGGGGAAGCCGTGCTGCATGAGCTCCAGCACGGCCGCCGTGCCCGAGCACTGCAGCTGCGCCAGCACCAGCGCGCCCTCCGCCAGCCGCGCCGCCATGCGCCCGTTCGGCTTCACGCACCGCACGAAGTTCGTGCCCTGCGCCGCCGCATTCATTCAATATGTTTCGCAACTGCATATTTTACAAATAATAACTATGCCCTGATACCCTCTGTACAGAGAGGGCCTTTGTCCAGCGCTAGAACATGTATAGGCTGATACTTTACTTTACTTTTACTTGAGGACTTTTTATGAACTACTACTAAAGATTATTCATATGTATATACGTGATTCATTTATGCCATATTTTGTAAATTGCTTTTATTTACACACATGCTATATTCGCCCACAGTGGAACTTTGGCATAATTATATTTAAAATATTTATCAACATGCTACAAAATACGAAATGGAATTGAAATGTTATTTATTTAAATCCCAATAAATATTTAAAGAGTTTTAAAGTTTTTAGTGTTGCAAGTAAGGACGACAAAAGACACGAATCGGTACTGTACGCACGTTCTCCTTGAGCTTGTCCATCAGCTGCGACAGTTGCGTTTGGAACTTTGCGCCCACGGAGATAAAGTTCAGTTTCCCCTTGGCGTTGTTGTTGTCCGTATTCTGGAAGAGTTGCTGCACCAGCGGGCTGCTAGACTCTTGAACTAGGAACTCGAGCGAGGCGTGGAGCGCGTCGTTGTTCTTCTCTATGAACTGGCTCTGCGGACCGCAACGTCAAAGAAGAGTCAAGCCGACGTAAAAACGATAAACTCGAATTTAAAATATCTTCATTCAAATATACGCTTGCGCGTAAGAATGAAACGTCGAATTTTACAGAAAAATTGATACGTGACTTCGTAAGTAAGTTATCATCAATATTAACGCTGTCATGGGAGTTGGACTACTATGATTTTGGCTAGGATTTTTTAAAACAAGTTGCCGGATCTGGGCTGAATTTATATTGAGTCAAGCAAAGTCTCGTTGTGTATGGAAATCGAACCCACTTCAGCGTCGAAGGCATAGTAGAAACCGGTGCAGTACCTAGTGATCATAGACACGTTATATAGTGCGAAATCTACCGGACGAAGAAATATCTGTGATCATTATAAGCAATCGAAATGGTCGAAAATAATTCATTTTTTTATTCATTTTGGACAATGTGACTTTTTAAAATTCTATACGTTCACGTACAATACGTGAGATTTTCCATGCCAGAAATATACTTTAAAGGGTGTGCAATGTTTTTCGTGACACACCAACATACAGGGATATCAACAGTAAACTTATTAGAGCAGATAGCGGGAAGCTAAAAATAAAAATACTACGATGCGTTTACGAGTTTCCCCGCAGTTCGGAAACTTACTTGAAGTATGAAAAACCCATACCGTGTTGTAGCAGACGGCACCCGCGAAGTGCCTCAATAGGAAGCCCTCGTCGTCCCTTACCAGCCGATGCGCCTTCAGGCGGGACGCTCTAGGCACTTGGAGGCGGCCGCTGCGAATTATTATCTATTTATTTATTGCAAAATCTTAAAAAAAGTAATACAATTTTTTTTTTTTTTTTTTTTTTTATGCGAAAAGTTGTCAAACGAGCAGACGGTTCACCTGATGTTAAGTGAATACCGCCGCCCATGGACATCTGCTACACTCGAGGGTTACAGATGCGTTGACAACCTTTTGAAAATTGGGCTCCGGCTACCTCACTCACCAGACGAAACGCGAAAGTATTTGTCATACAAATGGCGGACTTAATGCCATTTGGGCATTCTCTCAATCCGGCTCGTGGAGAGACATTGTGGTAGGTGCAATAAGCTAAAAAAATATCATGAATACTAATTAATAATATCAAATACTTACGTAATTATGCAATAATATATAAACATATATACACACATACACACGCGCACGCACGCACATAGACACACACACACACATTAAAAATATATCATCTTCATCATCTTTCTGCCCTTATCACACCTAGGTGGTGTGGGCACTACATGCGAATCATGTTGTAAGCGGTTTTGGATATGTTGGCAAGGCTAAATGGGTAAAAATTACTAAGACTCCGCTGTTTGTTTTGTCTGTCACCAGGCTGTATCTCGTAAACCGTGATATTAAGACAGTTAAAATTTTCACAGATGATGTTTCTATTGCCGCTATAACAACAAATAAATAATAAAAAAACAGAATTAAAAAAAATTAAGTGGGGGTCCCATGCGAACACATGGGTTCGAGTTTCACATTATTTAAACACAAAATTGTTCTCTAGTGACTAAGCCAAGCGATCCTCACTGAACGAAAATCGTCGAGATTTTCTATTTCTGTCCCTTCTATTTCGTTTTTATTGCATGTTTAGCAATGTTTGGCTTTATGAAACGTGCTTCCTTTACAGCAAACACAATTTCTCAAATTACACTTTATAACTACAATGATTTTTTGAAAACAAGAGATGACGTATTTGCTATTGAAATTTAATTTTTATTAACTTCAGAATTGATTTAATTAGGGAAGGCAACATAGGAGTTTAAATATCGATATGAATTCTACTTCTAGGAAATTAGGATAAAGTTTTTCCTGTAATACTAGATGTAAGGTGTTAAAAAAATAAAATAAACAGTATTGAACCCTATGGTGGTCGTAATAACTTCTAAACTTGCACTTCGCTGACCTTGAACCAGTTTAAGACAACAATACCTGTGGTTATTCCCGCCCAGCTGTTTGTGGACGGAGTGCGTGAAGTGACCAAACTCCGGTTTCGGGAGCTTCGACTCTTCGTCGAGGAGGTGGAAGATGCCGTGGTTCTTGCTCTCGATCAGGTCTGCAAAGTTGACAGCTTATGCGTCAGTAATACGAGTAGCAAAATCATCGCCGTTAATTACTTTCTCGATATACATTTCACAAGTATTTATATAACGTTAAAGTGATTTTCATTAACTCCATAACAAATAAGCTTGTATTAACGGGTAATGATAACTTTTAAACTAATTATCAATCTCGTGGGAGTTAGTTATCTCACTAGTTTGGCGTTCGAAGAAGCTTTAACAGCATATGGACTGAAAGCAAAGATATCAGACATAGCAAATGTATGCTAGTAGCAGCAGCTTATTTTTATTATTTCGCACAAATGTTTAATATTTGTGTCAATTTAAAAAAAAACTGCCGCCTCATATTAATCAACATTTATATCCTATGATATAAATGTTGATGTATGATATAATGTGTATGCATCATTGACATTACTATCGAAAATTACAATATCATTACTGTGTAAGTGCGGATAGAAGAATGTGAGAATAGGAGAAAAGCGGATGGGAGACCTACGCAGTTTTGTGTGGAAGTGTGTATGAGAAAAGAAGAAGAGCGTATGGGAGACCTATGCAGTTTTGTGTGGAAGTGTGTATGAGAAAAGAAGAAGAGCGGATGGGAGACCTATGCAGTCCTGGTTGTCGACGAATCTGATCTCGGGCACGTTGAGCCCCTCGCGCCGGTACAGCTCCTGCTCGTTCTTCAGGATGCGCTCGTTGAAGAACTGCTGCAGCTTCTCGTTGCAGTAGTTGATGCAGAACTGCTCGAAGCTGTTCATCTGGAAGTACTCTGCAAAGGCCGATATTGAAACCTCATTACTGACTTCATTCTATTCTAATATACGAGTTTTTTAGGACACATTTTTACATAACGCTCTCTAGTTCCAAACTAAGTAACGCTTGACTATGGGTAAATAGATAAGTGATAAACGTAATTTTCTTTTATAAATAAATATATTTTATACATAAACACCTCGCCACTAGAAAAAGACTATGTTCATGACACACTATTTTCCAGTAGTGGGGATCGAACCCACACCCTCTGAAGCAGATAAACTACCCACTTCGCCATTCGGGGTGTATGTAGTCGGTCGTAAGACTTGTAATAAGGTCAATGTCAACTTTACATTTACTTGAATATGTTTGTTTGTATGTATGTTTCTTTGTTGTTGTCGTTATTTTGTTGATCGTACTCTAGAAAAGTTTAATAAAGCATTGTACTAATCGCTCAACAGGTGTTCTCAAACTTTTCCTCGACAAAACAGTTCGGACGAGCTGCTTCGACGTCATTTTCATTGTGAATCATTAATGTGGTAGAATTTGTGGTTGTAAATTTTAAACTGTGGCAGGGCCAAGTGACTGTTGCACGGATGGGCGGGTGGAGTGGAAGCATTGTAATTCCGCGTTTCGCTTGATGAGCGAGGCAGCTCACGGTCGAGGTAAGAGGCGGCAATGACCGAAGCCGGCGATGTCGAGCACGCCGATGTAGTAGGCGGAGGCCTGGAAGGGGATGCTGGCGTTGATGCGGTGCACGATGTGGTCGAAGAGGCGGCTGTACACCGCCTTGGCCAGCGCGTCGCGCGCGTTCGTCGCCTCGTGCGGCTTCAGCGGCACCCTGCCGGGGAACAATTCACACGCCGATGTGAGTTCCAATCGTTGATGGCCATTACGGCCCGTGATGGTTTTTTTATTATTGATATTATTTTTTCGTATTCTTTATGTAAGTTGACTTGGTTGCGTGGAATGGGAGAGTAGTTAAGCAGTTAGTAAAAAATATAGTGAGAGTGAGTATAGGTGAAAAACGAAAGAGCCAATAGGGGTGCGGGAGGGAGATGCAGCGTTGGTGCGAAAGGGAGGGCTCACATGATGGCGGTGCCCTTGAGGCCGCCGCGCGCGCTCTGCATGAGCCTGGAGACGAGCGCCATGCGCAGGTCGGGCGCGTGCACGCCGAGCAGCGCGGCCGCGTGCGCCAGCGCGGGCTCGCTGGCCGGCGCCACGGTGCAGCCGCCGCGCGCGCCCCCCTCCTCCTCGAAGCGCACGTTGCCCAGGTGCAGCACGGCCGCCACCACGCGGTACACCGCCTCCTCCTCCGCCTCGCTCAGTCCCACGCGCCGCAGCGCCTGCGGGGACGACCGACTCGTTACCACCACACGACCACTCGACCACACGACCACGACCACAGTGGAACGGACGCCACGAGCTACTGTTCTAAATTCTTTTTTAACGTAGTTCCGGATACTGAGCCGTGATGGCTTAGTGTCCGGGCGCTCGCTTTTAATTCGATATACTCGAGCAACCAGGGTTGAAATGTAAGTGCCGGCACCAATTGCTAATTTTATGTTGACTTCAAATGCTCGACGGTGAAAAAAAAACATCATGAGAAAAGTTAGACATATTTTCGAAGTTATATGCATTCTGCCAGTCCACAGTGGGGTCGCGTGGTGGTCTATGCCCTAATACCATCTCTACTGCGTAGGCTTTAGCTCAAGAGCGGCAATGGTGTTAGTCATATACAGGTGTTACTTCACTTTTCACTTTTATAGTATGTGCACATGACGTGACGTGATCTCAAAATGCTTCCACTGTTGTCGGAGGAATCAGAAATGCGCATCGTATACACCCATCACGGGAAAAGTAGTATCCAGAGCTAAATTAAGCTATCTATTCTCTCTCTCTCTTTCAGCCAGCTGTGCCATACCTCGTAACAACGCTGAGGGATATACCCCCCTTTTTTTAGATCTTGACGGGTCCAGATGGCTGCTGAGTGAGTTCTCGAGGACACATCCCACTGGTAGGATCGACCACTTTCTAATGGACTCGCACAAATGAAAAGACTTTGACCTGGTCGTCACCCCAAGCCTTGGGAAAAAGCTCACTGCTTGGCCAACCACGCGGCACGAGTCCAGCTTAAGCCGTACCTGATGCAGCCTCTGGAAATCCTCCACGTCGTCCAGAATGGGGTCGCGGAGACCACCTTTCGCCTTCTGCTGCTCGCTCTTCTGACTGTCGCTGATCTTCTTCTCGGAGGCCGGGCTCGTGAAGTATTGGGTGCAGCCATTCTTCAGGTACTGCCAACGGAAGAGATAACACATTATGAAATATAAACTCGATTGTGACAGTGCTGTCAACTTTACCAAGATCATTAGTTGCAAATGATTAGGACACGGATTTGACAAACTGATGTTTAAAAATTATAACCGTTACCTCAGGCTATGATAATATGTACATCAAGTCAGGTGGTACTAGTTTGTAATGTCACTATATAAATTAAACTAATCTATCTTCTAAACCAGATCCTATCGTTTATTAGTTATTTAGACGGGGTGGAGACGATGGGACGTACACAGGCCATTACTTAATAGATGAATGAATGAATGAATGTAGGGGGCGCACCTGGTACATGTGCTGGTGGAGACGATGGGACGTACACAGGCCGTTACTTAATAGATGAATGACTGAATGAATATAGGGGGCGCACCTGGTACATGTGCGGGTGGAGACGATGGGACGTACACAGGCCGTTACTTAATAGATGAATGAATGAATGAATATAGGGGGCGCACCTGGTACATGTGCGGGTGGAGACGATGGGACGTACACAGGCCGTTACTTAATAGATGAATGAATGAATACGGCTCGCACCTGGTACTGGTCGGGGGCGGAGAGCGCCAGTCTTGCCCTCAGCTCGGCCGGCGCCCCGGCGCAGAGCAGGTAGAACACGTGGTAGTTCCTCTCCTCCGCGCTCTGCGTGCAGATGCGCGACTTCTCGAGCAGGTAGTGCGAGATGTGGCCGCCCACCACCTGCCAGCGGCCGCTGAAGTGCACCTCCATGAACTTGCCGAAGCGCGAGCTGTTGTTGTTCCGCGTCGTCTTCGCGTTGCCGAACGCCTCCAGGATCGGGTTGGCTGGGAACGGTGGATCGTTGGCCGACTTCGAAAAGGTTTTTTTTTTTATGTGTACAGTTGCCAAGCGAGCAGACGGTTCGCATGATGTCAGGTGAATACCGCCGCCCATGGACAACTACTACACCCGACGGTTCCAGATGCGTTAACGACCGTTTGAAAATTGGGCTCAAGGTAAAACGGCACCGTATCACTAAGACTCCGCTATCTGTCTGTATGCAGACTGTTGAAATTTTTCCAGATGCTGTATTCCTGTTGTCTAACTAATAATAAAAAACAGAATACGAAAATTATTCAAGTGGGGTTCCCATACAACAGACATGATTTTTTTGCCGTTTTTTAGATAATGGCACGGAACAATTCGTGCGGACTCGCCGACTCGCACTTGTTGTTTTTACGTTCGCTAGAGTTCTGGGAACTCCGTGACTCCAAAAACGCGCCAGAAGAAGGATAACTTAGAAAAACAGGTGGTTCAAACGCTCACCGTCCAGTATCTTTTGCTCCACGGGCCCGGCGCCCTTCGCCCAGAGGTCGCAGAGGTACTTCAGTATGTACTTCGTGGACTCCGTTTTCCCAGCGCCGGACTCGCCGGACACTATTATCGACTGCGATTGTTTTAAGGACTTCATGTCGCGGAACGCCTTGTCCGCTGCAACGAACGGGAAAATGTTCGTTCAACAATTGAAATACCACATAGAAAAAACAATTGAAATATCAAATTGAAAAAACAATTAAAACAAAATACCGAATAGAAAACGCGGTTAAATTAAAACTATTTTACGGATTTTTTCGTGAATGCCACTGGACCGGACCATGAACGCTGGAAAGGGTTCGAAACGTCGGGAATTTAAAACTAAATGAAAAAGCGACAAAACCTGTGAAATGGTTAAATGGAACAACCCGTGAAATAGTTAAACGGTTAAGAACAGAAATCGGCTTTGCTCAGTCAAAACACCGTTCAAAAACGGAAGAGAACTCGCGAGTTTTAAAAGGCGATCGATGAATCATACAAATGTTGAGGTTCTGGAAATGAAGTGGGTACGTAAATTTTTTTGTTGTATTTTACTAAATGTAGTATTTTCAGATAGAAGAATTTACAAAACACAAAGAGAAAATGACTTAATTTACCTCCATATAAAACTTAATCCTACAAAATATTAAAAATAAATAAGTGAAGAGTTTATCATCAACCTAAATTACAATAATGGTGTTATTAAATACAATTTTTTAGTATTCATTTTTACTAACTATCGATTTTACTAGTTCATGTGAGGATAAATAACTGACTATTTAAAATTATTAATACTGGCCACACCTATGGCGAACACGTGGGGAGGCAGCTCGCCGAGCGATCGGCCCTGGTACTTCTTGATGGTGCTGGAGGAGTACAGGTCTGGGATGTCTTCGTATGGATTCACAGCTAAGAGGATGTTCGCCACATATGTCTGTAAAAAAATGTTCAATGACATAATTCATCAGATGATGAAATGACATTACCTATACAGGTTGATTTTTTTATTGAAATTTCTTAAGGTTTCCATAATGTTTGAAAAAATTAAAAATAATCTTTGAAAAAATAAAAAAAAATTGAGGTCACACAAGTACGTACCAGATTCAGATCATAATCAAATTCTGCATATATGCACTATTAATATGTCCGTCGTCTACGAAATGTATATTACCTATATATGTATATTACCTACCCTGTATATGTATATTACCTATATGAATTCAATATACTCGAGCAACCTGAGTTCGGTCCCCGGTGCCGGCACCAATGAATTTGTTAATTTTAACTGCTGAATTATCACGTACTCAGCGTTGAAGGAAAACATCGTGAGGAAACCTGCATATTTTCGGTATAATAACAAAGTGTCCACTTTTTGTTATGACCTGATACCCTCTGTACAGAGGAGGCCTTTGCCCAGCATTGGGACATGTGTAGGCTGTCACTTTACTTTTAATCTTTACTACAAATAACAATGATTATGGTGTATCTAATTTTTGTACATATTTGGAACAACTACTCGTATTTCCTATCTATGAAATTGGCGATTCTAATATTGGCGATCGATTGTGGGGATCGAATCGATCATTCCACTTAGAACCTAATTCAAATTAAATATTGAAAACCAGTTGTTCTGGGGCCGTGAATTATTTCTTTAACAACGCTGTTTCTGTTACCATGGAAACATCGAGATTGTGCGCGTCAAGACACTGGCAAACCAAGATGGCGGACAATTTAAAGTACGCGTATGGACCAGGTACTAAAAGTGAATCCTTTCCGTTGTGGAAACTCCGATCTCGACAATGACCGTCCAGGCCGATCAGAAAGTCTATAACGACAAATCGAAAGTTATTGATTTTACCAACAGCCCTCAATGTGAATCATGAGTCGATGATTCACTTCGCTCCCTTTCATCGTGGCTCACTGAACAACTTCATCAAATTCGCGTCCAAGCTAGCCTTAACTTGGAAAAGCACACGACGATTCTACCTCAGTTTGCCGATGCTAATGAAAATAGCAATGATATTTTAATTAATATGCATGTCTATACTGCGCGGGGTTTAAAAGTTGGTCCGCCTTACATTATATGACGTATATATAAGTGAATGTGACAGATGATATAGAACGTGTGATACGGAAAATGTTATCAGATTAGAGTTGCAATCTAATTCCACCAATTGGCGTAACTTGAGTGCCTCAGTTTCGGTGCGCTAGTGTCATATCTACCTCGTATTTTTATTTATATATTGTCATTGAAAAATAGGACGTTAAATATCAACGCTCAATTTGCTACCGTAAGTACAACTCCACGGATGTTGATGCTCGTGGACCCTGTTAATGAACATCAGGTCAACGACAAGCTATTTTACCTCGTCGTCCAGTTAAAAATAAAAAAAATAAACCAAAGATATTATCAGAATCAGAATATCATTTATTTGCCTACTTTGTGTATTACAATTTATAATCTTGTGACCTGTGAGCCGCGCAGGGATGAGTCAGCTAACTTATGTCCTAATGGATCTGTGTTTGCCGTGATTTAATTCTTCGTAATAAGTTAGTAGGTATAGCATTACGTACAAACAGATTACCTGTATCATTTTTTATGTGTGCTTAGATTCTATCATATACAGAGATTATTTTATTTTAAGCGGACGCGAGCCTTTGTTTTATAAGTAGGCCACCGTCTGTGTCCTTTTTTATTACGGTCATACAATATTTCGCCTATTCTGTGATTAACCCTAAGGGGGTTGAATTCGTCTTTCGCTTGGTAGGTGTCACGAGGAAATTCAAGATCTTCTATTTCTAATTTTGCGATGGTTGGTATTAAGGTAGTATCCAGCATGTTGGTGTTAAGGTCCTCTGCGATATAAAATGTAAACACATTTCCAACTCCAATAACGCGCTGTTGTAGGGTTCGATCGCAATACGGGGCAAATTTGTGGGCTTAATAAATGGAAATAAATAAAATTCCAAGTTCGACCACTTTATCCGCGCTTTCATTTATTGTCTCGTTTCAAAAACGTGTTCCTGTTGTGATTAAATAAATGCCACAGAGTTTACCAACTCTTTAACACTGCAAGACCTCGAGATATTGTAAGCTTAATCTTCGTAGACTGCAATAAAATAACAAGTATGTATTCCATTTTTAAACGAAAAACAAAACAGACTTCAAATCAATCATGTATTCATTCGAGTAAATGCTAAAAAATCATCAACAATCTTGTTTTACATACTTTCCCTGACTTTTCGTTACTTCAATAAATGAATAGGGAATAACTTTTTAACTTTTAGCTTCAACGACGTCTTACTGCCAATGCCGCATAAGTTAATCTATTTAAAGATAGGTAACGAGAGCCTAATTCGCATTATATTAGTCGGCCATACAAATCCAATTGTGAACGTACTACTATGTTGAAGAGAAGTTATGTCACTCAACTTTTTAAGAACGTATTTAACATTAAAAAAAATTAAAGCTTGATGGTTATTTGAATTTTGTGCGAGCGTTATTCTATTATAGCGTGAACCACATTTTTACGAAAAACTTGTCGTATGTGTAATAAGAAATTGACCTTAACGTTTACAAAACCGAAAATGAAACCATGTACTTGGCCTCGAGAGGCCTATATCCTGACACAAGCTGGTGACGATAATTATCATACTCTATTTGTTTTGTAATGGATAAGTGGATGCACCATCTTTATCTTCGAATGATGAAAAAGACGTCTGCGGCAATGCCTATTAATATTATAAGAATTGTATATCTGTCTGCCCTTTCTTCACACGGCAACGGAGCTTTTATATATAAATACAATATGTTAAATTCCAACAAAGTAGGCCTTTATCTAAGTCTGATGTTCCACTAAATCACGCAAACTGAGGCACCAAAAGCGGTAAGATGTGTAAAATGTATTAAAATCCTTACTGCCACATCCTTTACTCAGTTCGCAGGAGTTTTAATCACACGCTTTGGGGGCCAATGGCGGCTTGCGAAATGTAAGCGCACAGCGAAACATTTCATTCATAGCTCAAATAACAGTGTCTGTGAGTAACAGAGACAATGGATTGCGTAGTCCGTTCAGATTCGACCCTGCTTTGTTGTCTCTAGTCCGACATTGTGGCCGCTTTCGAATCGACACCAAAACACGTTTAGGGCTCTAGCAGGGCCACGCGGCCACGAATGGGCAGGCTAGTCCGGGGAAGTACCGCCTTACAGGAAGGACGGCGTGAAGTGGAAGTACCGCTGTGCGTTCCGTTCGGCGTGTGAGGAAACGGGTACCAGCTTTTTTCAATAGTTTGGCAACGCATCTGCGAATCGTTAGGTGTTTTAGATGTCCATGGAGAGCAGTTATCGCTAAGGCCTAAGCCTGTTTGGCTATTCAAATAAAGAAGAATGTTTTTTTTTTTAATTATAAGACCGACGGATTCGTGGTCAATCTCTAACGAGGGTGGCCCTCTAAATATTTCAAAGCCAAGCGTAACTCAAAAGTGTTTCTTTTATGTATACGAGTATTCTACGAAGCAAACCCAACAATGAAGACTTGTGCTGGCCTTTTCCCGTGGTTAAATTAATGTGTGCAGAATATTTGTACAGTTGACCTGGTGACTAACTGATTCCCCGTAGATTTGAGGACGCGGTCGCCTGTTCGATTGCCAATAAAACTTCGCCAGTTTTCAGGTTTCATAAACCTAAAAACCACTAGGATAGCAATCTTACGTGTTCGATGTATGGTGCCAGGCACTTGCCATTTTAGGTTTAAACTTTGTGCCGGTGCAGAGTATAAGCAAGCGTCGCGACGTTCATGCAGCGTAAATCAGTTTACGTAACAATGGCAACAAATGAAAATGTGTTTGTTTGTGTGTGTGTGTGCTGTGTATGCATGTGTGTTCGTGTGTGTGTGTCGATCGATATTAAAACGCTACCTCAAGGTGAGAACGGACGGCATGACTCACTGATGCCTTAAGACGTTTCGTAGAGTAGTCGTAGGCAGTAGAATTACTTCGTGAAAGATAATGCAATTACAACAATTACATTGTATGTATAACACTTATATTTGTTCATATATTAACGATGGCGAAGCGTATATTATATATTCATTGTGTTGTGGACAGATATTTAAAGGGAACTTGTAAGAATAGTAATTCTTTTTATGTTCTTCGTAAAAAAATATTATTACAACATTGTAAAATAGTATTCATTAAATTCATCTACAACGTCATTGCAATAATACTTTTCAGTTCGAAAATCTTATCGACCATCAAATTTCAGCAGCTTGAAAAACTTAAACAAAGTTTCATATCACGTATAAAGTGAAGAAAGCAATTGCGAAAATATTCATCACATATGAACGTAAAATGATGCCGCTGCTTTAGTCTGTGGAATACAAAGGTTACTTACGTAAATTTTTTTCTTCTTATAGCGACATATTATGTTGTTTAGAAGCGTCGCCTCATTCAGGAACATCAGTTCACCTGAAAAAACATTTAAAGAATATCATTAGCGTTATTTAACAACATTCTTATTCGATGCGAAACAGATGTATGTAAGTTTTAAAGAGTTTTTTTTGAGGATACAATAATAACAACGATGGCAACTGTACAAGTGACGATTCACTTGATTGCAGGCGTTTTGGTAAGGAATGCGCCGCGATTACCTCACTCGTCTTTTACTTATTAAACATTTATATATATTTATAAATGGAGTAAACTTACACATATTGTTTTAAAGTTATTTTTTAGGAAATTGCTTAAATGAAACTATTTTAAGGATTTTATCGCGGTTTCTCTTGATTTTTTATACCCGGCGTTTCGAACATTACAGCGTTCATGGTCACGGGTAAGATTGTCTGTGACTTATTATACGGCGATTTGTTTAAACGTATAAAGTGTTCGAGTGAATACATAAAAAAAACATTACGTTAACAGGTTGACTACTAAAAGAAGTTATATTATGTTAAAGGTCGAAATGTGCAAGTTTGGCTATTGTAAGGCATCGACACACAACAGAAAAAAAAAACAAACTCACAAATTTCTAATTGCGCAAATTTCTAGGTATGTAGATTAAAAACCCTACGCGCCATTTCGAAGGGCTGGCCGCAAACAGAAAAAGAAAAAAAGAGGCGGAACTCACAGTTGTCGTCGCAGTCCTTGTCGGGGTCGCCGGCGGGCAGGATGTCGTCGAAGTTGACGACGCGCCTCGCGTGCCTGTTGTCCACGGGCACCACGTCCGCCTCCTCGCCGAGGAGCTCGTGCAGCCGCGCCAGCACGAAGCCCTCCGCGGGCTCGCGCACCCACACCAGCTGCTTGTCCAGCGTCATCGTTCGCTGGAACAATGACCGGGAAATATCATATTAAAATAAGACTTTTTTATGTGAAAAGGTGGTAAGCGAGCTTACATAACCTTCAAAATATCTTTTACGCACACTAACATAATGCGTCCATGGCCTGTGGAAATCGTAGTGGTTCATTGCAGGTCTGATTTAGCACGTCAGTAGCTTAGTTGACAACGTGTTTCGTCTGGACGCGTGCGTTACTGGCAACGCCGAAAGATTTTTTTATTTATCTAAAAATCTAATTCCGGATATTTTTTTATGTGAGAAGGTTGGCAAGCGAACTTGCGGTTCGCCAGATGTTGAGCGATAACCGCCGCCCCTGCGGTTGCAGATGCGTTGCCGCCTATCAATGCAGTGGGCCCCGGTTAACTCGCTCACCAGACGAAACGCAGAAATGGGACGCTTCCACTTTACGCCGGTTTTGCGCGAGGTCCTGGTACTTCCCCGTACGGACCTGTCCCGAGATTAAATCCCCATGTAGGTAAAGTACCTACATGGGGATTTAATCTCGGGACAGCTCAAGCTTATCATCAGGAGCGATGAAGAGATATAAAATTCCATCCCCCATTCATAATTCAACGCAGTAGCGTTTATGTGCGAGCTGAAAAGTTCCAATTTCTCTCGTGCACCTATTTTGACGAAATTTTTTTGAACGTTTGGTAAATTATTATAAACGCCGTAAAGTCTATATTATGGTAACGAAAACGAGATTATAACTGTTTTGTTGATTTGACGCGAATATTATACGAGGTTATTATAGGTTCATGTCACGGGACAGTCTGTCCCGTAACCATGAACGCTGGAAAGGGTTTGGAACGGCGGGAGTTCAAATCAAAATAAAAAACGCGATAAAATCCATAAACTAGTTTCATTTAATATGAGATTATAATTATATTGACTTAAGATATGTATAGCATATCATAATTTGATGTTAGTCAATATTTATTTCTCTCTTCCCGTTTGAATTTAATAACTAAACTAATCTATTACATACTAATCATAAATGCAAGCCTTAGGTAGTCGCAAACGTTACGGTGCTAATATAAAACAAACACATTTTTAATAGCTTCTTATATGACATGTGATATGATTCTTATATGATATGACATGTGTCAGCATAATTAGAAGCGAAATTGAAATTCATAGCACGTGGCTCCATCGCGCGGTGAATTATTGTCACAGTTAAGACTGGCGATAGAATTTGGTGTTAAAAAATTATTACGACCCAGCGCGAATTAATCAATTCTTCCATTATGAAAGTATAAAGGGGAGTACTACAGTTAAACAGAGGACGGGTGTAATATATGAGTATTTATAATTTTGAGACTGGTGACATTTTTATGTTAAACTCAGACAAACAGGTTTACTTGATGTGAAGTGATTAACGCTTTATGGATATCGCAACGCCAGCATCTGCAATACCTTAGGTGTTTTTGTTACCTTACTACACGTGATTATGTGCTTCAAAAATCTTATCAGTTATGAACTGTATACCCATAGTACAAGCGTTGCTTAGTTTGGGACTAGAGAACGTTGTGTAAAAATGTGTCCTAAATATTTATTATTATTATAATATTAAAGGACCGAGTTTCGACACGCAATACTAATTTCTGTAACCGGCCATGCCTTTGAATCCTCGAACGAATCCATTTGGACGATAAACTTTTAAAGACGCCGAGTATAATAATGCTTTCAACAAAGGCCGCCTGGCCCTCGTCCTCGTGGAAAGAGCTAATACAAGGTACATAATAACGTATACACCGACATATTTTATTGGCATAAATATTTCCCTAGCCAGTAGTCTGGCGACAGTATCGTAGCTATCGTAGCTCGACGAGGCTACAAACTCCTGGACTAGGTTTGCCACCGAAATACAGAACAAAACTACAATCAATAGTATTGAACTCTATTTCGGTTCTCAGTTCTGTTGAAAAACTGATCAATATGCCTTTGCAACAATATATCCATCATTGCGTTCTTCACATACTGTTTAAAATGTTTCTTTAGACACAAGCGCGATGGGCCCAAGCGCGAAGACCTCGCCAATAAAGAGACAAATTCCTAAATGCAAATTGGCAATGGTGGTAATTGCAGGTCTGATATAATGTGAAAGAGAATTTCCTTCTTCATTTTATCATGTCATCATTTATACATGCATCAAACTGTGGTGCTAATTTCGAATCTTTTTCTTTTTAACCTTATAAAGCTTTGTTTTTGCCGTAATATTTGAGGCACATCCCGTTCACTTAGGAGACTAAAACTTTTGGACAAAATTTTAGGACACATTCTTTTTACACAACGATCTCTAGTCCCAAACTAAGCAATGCTTGTACTATGGGTACTAGAAAACTGATAGACATGCTTAAACATACTTTTCTTTAATAAATAAATACGCATTATACATATATAAACACCCAGACACTAGGAAAACACTATGCTCATCACATAATATTTTTCCAGTAGTGGGGATCGAACCCACAAACACAAACTGATTTCAATAAATTCAGCTTGCCGTCAATTTTGAGATGTCATAATATTTATAATTTTAGCGTTTAAATACCCGTTTTTATTAATACAAAAAGATATAGCGAAAGGAACTCCAACCGGGTGTCAATAAGACACCTCTCTCTTTTTTATTATCTATGTGAGACGTGTTGGCAACCTTATCTTGGACCGAAAGCGAAAAAGTCACGCGATAAACATAAAGACAGCATAACGCACAACCAGCCGGTCGAGCAGCCCGCATTGTACTTATATAACACGCGATCCGGCTAACTGCGAGTCTACTTAGACATAACGAATTCGGTGTCGTGTCGGCCGTGTGTCACGGTTGCGCAACCGAGGTGAGCGGAAGCAATTGCGGGGGAGCCGTGTGTAACCGCATGCAATATTAGATTTTTTTATATATAAGAGAAGGTGACATTCGAGAGCAGTCGCAGCGACGCGAAAGAACTTTTGTGATTGTATTCGGCTATGATGCAGATGGGTTAACATTCTTAGACAGGGTGATTCTTGCGTCTATAGAAGCTACTGCGTGGCCCTACTAGGTTGTTACAGCAAGGGGTTACTTAGTTCAGGGGTCATAATATTATATAGAAAGTAACAGAACAGGAACTATCGACTATAATCTTTCGGCGCTCCCGAGACGAGACAATAACGAAGCTAATGACGTGTTAAATGGATGACGGAAATTCTATCACCATTAAATCACATATTAGACCTGCGATGGCTACCCTTGCCCATTTGCATTTAGGAACTTGTCTCTTTATTGATCATCCGCCAATCATGGTTGTATGTGTAAAAATATATGCTGTAGAGTAAGTAATCTGGTAATACACTATGAAGCCGTTTAAGTGTACGCTAATTCTTAGGACTCTCTGAAATTATTAGTGTGGTCATGTGTTCAAAAAATGCTTTGGTTTTACGCTAGTTTTCTATCGCTTATTAACGAATCTCTTCACTAAGTCTCGCACGACACATTTGACCCAATGCAGCGTTAGTCGTAGAATAATCTCGTTACAAATGAACCAGTGTGTATAAAGTCGTCGCAAGCCTATCGTCAAACGAATAGCCAAAACCTTCACCGCCTTTTACTGGCTTCTCTAAATGAACACGTTGTGTTTTCCATTGTGCCCTGGCTTATTACTCGTATATGTGAATATATGTAACGGACCGGTTGTGGAGACTTTGTTTTAACAGCACTATATATGCAAAACTATGAAACATTTCGAAGAGTGTCGACTAGATAAATACATTGTGTGTTACGCCGAACGCATTTCATATAAATATTATATAACGCATTTCGTAAATTGCGTATATCATTTTTATTTTGTCTTTAATAGTATAAAATAATTTATACACAAAATGTTCATTTCACAACACAAACTTTCTCGAGATATTTTTATGGACGATGGGGCACGAAAATTTACAAAGAAGAAAATTCTATTTTATTAAGAAACGCTTTCAATGAAATATTAATTTAAAGAAAAACACTCTTTATATGAAGTTCCGCAAAACTTTCAAATTGAAATTCCATTACTCAACGGTATTTAAAGTTATTTTCAGATATAACGCTATAAAAATAATTGAGAATTTATACAACAGTTGTACGCTTAAGCAAATAACAAATCACAAATCACATTCACATATGAATAGATAAAGACCTTAAACTTAAAACTTTTTCGATTTGAAGCATCGAACTAGGAACCCTAGAAATAAATCAAAATTAAATGACAAAATACGCCACAATGGCGTTAAATCGTTCATAATGAAACAAAAGCAAGAGCAGAGACCGTTATAGGAGTTGGGCGTTACATTTTAATTGCCCGTTACGAACGCGAAGTGTTGGATAACAGGAACTCCTTCGATTGTCACGGCGTCCGCAGAGAGAAAATTTGTAGACGTTGTACTAGGTCAAGCATTGGGCTCCGATGCGGAACGGGTTTTTTTTAATGTGAGAAGGTTGCAAACGAGCTGGATCACCTGATGTTAACTTGATAACCACCACCAATTAACATTTGCGATACCCATAAGGTTGCAGATGCGTTGCCACTTTTTAATAAAGTGGGCCCCAGCTGCCACATTCACCAAACGAAACGCAGAAGCGTAGCACTTTCTTCACGCCAGTCTTATATGAGCTCTTAGCAATTCGCCGGACGGTACTGCCCATTCGTGCAACAGTTACTGCAACTGCAACTGTTGCGCGGCCCTGCCACAGTTAAAACTTAAACGCCACGCAGAGAGATAATAAAATACTTTATAAGAGATTCACACGTTACCGGTCGTGTTTAATTTCGTTCCGTCGTTGTGTTCACGTTATTAATAGTACGTTGTGAATGTTGTTTCAGATGGTCATAGATCTACGATGGCTTCCGCGTTTTAGAGACTCGATAACCGTTCAGTCAGCGGTCAGACGGTTGCGGTGAGGTGAAACCGGTTAGCGGTTAACTCATGGCTGCCGGCAGGTTTGTTACAGCCAAGTTTGT